CACCACTTATTGCGACCTACTTTACAAATTATTGTGCAATTACACTTATTTCCTCAAACCGTCCGTAGGGGGGGCTTGACCCTATGCAGTTACCCCCTGGTGTCACCACTGTACATAGTAAACGACAGTCTTCTGTAGGCCTATAACACTTTCAAAAATCTGATTAAAATACAGATACAGATATTTTTTTCTTTTAATTTCTTTGGGCTTCTTCACTTGCAATTGGATCTAAGACACTTTGATGTGTCGCTGGCCACTTTTCAATTCAGTGTTATTCAATAAGGTATCAAAGCCAAATAAGAGCATAATCTTTTGAGCTCATCATGAAATAAATATTATAAACTTTTCTTAAAGAATTGAATTCTTAAACACTTTGAAATAGCAGCACTTTGTTAAAATGTCGAAAGTAATTATGTTAATTTTACCAAAATCTTGAGTTGAATAAATGGTCAATGTGGTCATTATTTTGCAACACAAACCAACCTTAAACGAGGTTTCCAAGAAAAAATTGTCTTCCGGATTTTTATATGAAATAGTGCACATTTTGAAATTTCAAAAGCAGTTTTATCATGAAATGCAAAGTGTTATGTTTTTATTTTTCTGAGCTGCCCGATATACATAATGAACACTCTATATTCTGAACGTTTGCGATTTACGATTGCCCAGTGCTGAATGGATACAAATTGGGGTCTGGATATAGGAGAAATGTTTAAGTGAAGATGATCGCCAAAGATTTTATAATATTGCCTTTTATCTTAAAAGGGGATGCCAGAATAATTATGTAATGTAGGCGTAAAACACAAAATTGTTAGTGTTAAATAGCGTTCAAACATCAATCGTAGAGCGAAAAAGCGCTAAAGAAACATTAAAATTATTATAGCTGTTTTTGCAAATTAGGCCAGCTGTTCAAAAAGGCATTTTCCATCAACCAATGTTTTGCTCTGTCCATCCTGGTCCCCAGTCAATTAGTCCATGAAATAGGCAATAAATAGATCAATTTTTAATGAATTATAATTATGAAAATTAGTTATTATTTTCATCGACTCAGCAATTTATATACCGGTATCAACATATGAAAACGAGAATTTACTACTACGATCTGTTACCAACGTTATTCGGTCGGAAACATGCTTTAATGGACAGATTAGACATCCGTTTGACCAACCGTAGCAAAGTCTTAGAAACCAGATTTTTTTTTTTTTTGGCTAAGCTAATAGTGCAGCTCACACACTGGCGGAACCAGGTTTACGTCCTACAAAAAGGGGGGGAGGAGAGATTTCTAACCTGGTTATATTTTTGCCAGAAAAACTTGCTTTCGGGGCTGCGAGGGGGTGGGGCTGCCTCCTCAGTTCACCATTTGGCTCCGCCACTGAGCTCACCGTCGAAATTTGAACCTTTAAATCCATGAATTTAGAGGTATTTCTGAAGGGATTACGCGTGTAGTACTTTTGAAGACTTCTTACATGTATTCAAGACCCTAATTAAATTGGAGAATTTGTTCCTTTAAGGTTTGCGTCTGAAAGATATATCGAATGTGGGTTTATACCCATTATGTTATATAATCACTATACATCTTATCTTTATTGCAAACTGTTCTGAAAAATTCGTTATATACAAATAAACTAATGTCTAAAAATGGGTATTGGGTGTAGGGGAGACAGGGACTTGGTGGAATTAGATGTTTACATAGGTCTATTTCAATTTGGTCCCCTTTCTCAACTTTATAGTCCTTGTGATTTTGTGTACGTGTCTACAGTCATGACGCCTTTATATTCCCTAGGGAATCGGTATAATATAGGCTGATCTTTAAAAATTTTTAAATTTTTTGTGTAAAGATAACCTTTTATATTTCTCTGTTCGACTGTTCAATAGGTCCATATACAATAAATAATGTAGGGACACAAGTGTAAGTTTTATCTCTGAAAATCTTGCTTCTGGACCCATAGGCCTACTTCAATTTTCAGTCCACCTCCCCTCTCATGTTATGATTTTATTGTAACGTTGGCCTTTCCCCTGATAATCTTAGGTTTAACCCGCTTAAATAATTTACACCTTATACTAAATATATTTTTCGGGGGAGGGGGGAGGTCTAATCCCACTACCACCACTTTTGTTCGACTTTTTTCATTTGATCATCTACGCCTACTGGCTTTAAGACAATGCTGGTTCTTAGATCATTTTACAAGTCGTGGATTTAAAGGGTGGGGTGGATATCAATTTCAATAATTTAAATTATCGACATTGTTTATTTGTTTTTTGAATCATCCAACCTGTGCGCGTGGTGTGATGTCATTTATTGAAATTATTGCGTCTATCAGCCCAGGGTTAAGTACAGAAATACTCTACTATTCTCTTAGTGACCTTATACAAGTATAAACCAATCAGAATGTCTTGTTAAATATCAGCTGACGACTCGAACCATACCGGCACAATAAATGAATTAACCACTCACTCTACATGGTAACAGGGGAGAAATTTTGAATATTTTTCACATAAAATTCTTTGAAATTGGAATCTCAAAAGGTAATTTAAAGTGTTATTTCATAATAACTCTTCTTATCTTTTTGTTATTAAATGTAGAACAACGTCTGTCGGGTTATTGACTCTTTTGTACCGAAAAAGTGCAGACGACAGTTTACGCAAATAATTTATTTGGATAATTTCAGCAGAAGTTTAATTGCCATCGCCATTCACCGAATTAACGAATACTTAAGTAAAAATAATTACCTATTTATCCCAATAAATCATAATTTTGGTTGAGAACTAACTGAAGATACATGATTTACATATTTAAATTCGAATGTCTACTGAATTCTAAAAATAGTATCATGGGACACACCTTTTGTTTCTAAAAATAGATTGCCTTCATTGGACATTCTGTGAATGTATTTTAGGCACAGTAAAATGTTAAACTTTTAAATTAATTGATTTTTAAGCATTGTCTTGAAATTATTTCTACAGAGAATGTTTTTCTATGAATTTTACGAAACCATTTTGAGTGGCTATTTTGCTTTTGTTTCTAGCTCCGCATAGACCTGAGTGATTTTCTAAAAATAAATTACGGTTATGAAAACTGTTTGGACACACGTTGTTAAAAATGATTTTCTTTCACTTTGAACTCTTGGTGACCAAAATCGAACTCAACTGAGTAGTAGATATGAAGATTCACAGAAGAAACAACATAATCTCTTAGTGCCATTCTAGATTTAGTAAGTAGGCCTACCGGTAGGCTTGACTGGACACCAAATCATAATCCTGACCCTGTCCCTGTTTTCCTGATTTATTTACAACAATGACGACTAGGCCTAACGTTCATTTTATACCTGTCATCTCTGAATAAGTCTTGAACCTGGATTTTGATTGATTTTCTCTCAGAGCCTTCCTATTTTCTTTCTCACTTTGAGATGTCATTCTTCATACTTTTGACCTATAGTATAGGCCTAACCACTCAGTGTCTCAATCTCGAGATCATCACCAGCAACCGAAATTCCATAAGCCTGAAAATTCAGATGAGACAGTGCATGAATGAATGATATATATTTCTTGATAAAAAATCAAATCGGGCAGATATTTTGCAAATACTTTTTTGCCCCTTTGAGCAGTTCCTGCAATCAAATTGAACTTTAGCATCGTTGACAAAAACTCAAAATGATAACAAGACAAAGACTAAATTAGACCTACATAGAGCTACATACCACCAGTAGTAATAAAGTATCCAGTAGATCTTAACTAGCCTATTAGGCCTACACATCTTCTGAATGATTGTTTTGTTTTCACGTTTTGACATCGTGTTAGAGAGGATGGGAATTGAATTAATGACCGGTACCATTTGTGTACCAAATTATAATAAATTAGCAATTGTATCAGTAATTGACTAATTTGGATTATCTGGACTAATTATTAATTATTGGGGCAGATCAGAAGGATAATCTGTGACCATCCCTTGCTTTAAAATCACTTTTTGTGAAAGAAGTCAGACTGTCAACATGGAACCTTGTCAAATTATCTGGCTAGCTTACTGTGTTTTTAACTTCATGAGTTTGATGAAAGTGGAAATTTTGATGAAGGTAGGCACTGTAAATTAGAGTCTAAGCAGGATGAATATTAAAGTTAAATTTTAGAACAATTTTGATGTTGATATTTAGTGTTCAAAGAAACAGACCAGAGTGTGGATCTTTTTTTCGGGAAATATGTGAAGATTTATGAAGTATATTAATTTATAATAATTAATTATATTAATGTAGTAAGAAACAAAATCAAGGGGTAGGAGATGTCTAGGGTAAAATTTTGGTGTTAAAATATTTGAAAATTAATTGAAAAAAAAACATGATGTTGGAACATTTTAAACATAATTTGAATCAATCAGGAATTGTAATGTCGTTACTGTAATTTTAATTAGACCTTTAGTTTCATTTTTTGAGAGTTCTGATTTTAGATGTAGATATTGGCGTCCTATTATCAACAAAGTTGGCTAGTGTTAACATTAAAACAACATTTTATGCAGTTTTCTAAATAATGATTGTTTTGTTTTAAAATCAATGTTTCAAGTTGGGCACAAGTTCTGTTTAAATATCACATTAACCTGATATTTTTCTGTAACACTGAGAATTATTTCATCAGAAAATAATTATGAAGGTAGTTTTTGTGATGTAGGGAAGTTAAATAAGGCTTTTTAATTACAGTGGAGTGCCTAGGTCAAAGTAATGGTTCTTCAGTTTACTTGGTTGAACTTAATAATGTTGTTTTTACAAGTCTGTACCAATTTTGTACTATTTAGTGGTTTGCAGTTTTGTAAAATTTGTGTATAATTTTGAAAATTATGTATATTTTTGTAAGATAAATAAATATATACAGATAATATAAGCTTATAGAAGAACTACTATTATGTTTTTTTATTATTTTTTTTACTTATTTTTTCGGACTTAATAAAAATTGACATTTGTAAAATACAAATTGTATATTTTCAGATAGTACCACAGTTCGCTCCTGGAAAATTTGCCATGTTGTCCAGTCTATTCAGAGCCCATGGACAATTCTGTGCCACACATCCATGGGAAGTTATAATTGGAACAGTAACTATTACCCTATGCCTAATGTCCATGAGTTTATTTACCAGTACAGAAAAAGTATGTGGTTGGAATTATATTTGTCCTCAAAATGATATCCATGTAAGTTGATACAAATTATTTTATTTTCATTGACATTGTGAAGATACTATAAATTTGGTGAAATGAATATTTACAGTTGCTTAGCATGTGCCCTTATGATTAAAAACAAAGCACGTTATAACTACATTTCTATTAAAATTTCCCCCATTGCTTACTGTATTGCTTGTTTTGTCTGTATTCAATACCCCCTGGCAAATAAGGTGCAGATCAGAAGAATGTTCAGATTTAATTTGTTTTTCAGCCTGATATGAAAAGTTCGGATTTGATTATTATGACCATAACAAGATGTTTAGCTGTGATTTATATTTATCTACAATTTAGAAATCTTCGTAGATTAGGTTCCAAATATTTATTAGGTAAGACTGAATCGTATTTTAAAAGTGTTCATCACATACAATCACAATCAGATTGGTGAAAAGTCAGGACTTCTGTCATTAAGGATGTATAGCTATTAGGGGGTGAAATACAATAAAAATGGTATGTTATATCCATGTTATGTTTTGTAATTCCAGGTGTATCAGGTGTTTTTACCATCTTTTCTAGTTTTGTATTCAGCATGGCTGTTATTCATTTACTTGGTAATGATTTGACAGGCTTAGAGTAAGTACAGTATATTATATACATAGAACATTACACACAGGCTCACATGCTATCAACTGAACATTAACATCCTTAACAGATAAAAATCAAGGAAATGTTAAAATTTTCTTCATTGCCCAATGCATTATGTATTTTCTGAAACAAAATATCAGTAAGGTTTTTGTTTTTCAGTGAAGCTCTTCCATTTTTCTTACTGTTAATAGACCTATCAAAAGCCAGTGCCTTGGCAAGATTTGCTCTGAGTTCAGCCTCGCATGCAGAAGTGAAGGATAATATAGCTAAAGGAATGGCTATCATTGGACCATCTATAACATTAGATGCTATAGTAGAAACTTTAGTTATTGGTGTGGGCACACTATCAGGTATGTTTATTCTATTCAGGGAATCTATATTTCGGTTTATCCGAACTTGTTTCCATTCAATCAACAGCCCTTTTGAAATTTATGGTCTTGATGCTGAAGCACTTGTAGTCGAATTTTGCTTTTATGTTGGATTTGAACTCAAATTAGTATGAATGTGACAATATTTCAAAAATTGTCTTTGAGTTACTTCCCCTGATCAATGTTGTTATATACATAATGTTTTGTATTATAGGTCTTCGTCAGTTAGAAACTATGTGTTGTTTTGGTTGTTTATCTGTTATAGCTAATTATTTAGCTTTTATGACCTTTTATCCTGCTTGTTTAGCCTTAGTTTTAGAGGTAAGATAAACCAAATGTATTTTCTTTGTTTTTTTTTTATCCATTTCTTCAATTGTTACATTGAGAATGTAAACAAACGTGTATCATGTCCTTGACCTCATGTCTCTATATTTGCCCTTGCTTAACTTCTGTTCATAACTTCAACCTCAAATTCTGGGCTAATTCTTTATATTATTTCTTATGAACAGATTTCTTATTGGAAAAGAAATGTAAGATGTCTTACAATTGACAGGTAAATGAGTTAAAATTATAAAACATAATGATAATCCAATAATTTAGTTGCTAAATGTTCAAATGAAAATTGTATTTTTCCAGTTGTCAAGAGAAAGAAATGGCCGCCCACTATGGCAGTTACAACAGATATCTAAAATATTACAAGAAGAAGAAGAGGAAAAAAAACCAAATCCTGTCACTCAAAGAGTTAAAATTATCATGGTAAGTGTTTATACACATATATCATGCAAAGGGATGGGTTTGAATATGAAAACTTTTCATCTTAGCATATTGGAAGGATGTATCCCATTGTCACTTGTGAATGCGATGGATACTTAATGATGATTTCTGATAATAGAGCTTTCAACTTGTGATATATATAGTAAAATCTCTTGCTGAATATTATATTATGCTTTGCAGCCGATAACGGATTTTGTGATTGATTCTAAAGAAATTACTTGTCTAAAACCTTAAAAAGTGGAAGCTCATGAAATTTCTATTTCTAATTATAGTCTGCTGGTCTAGTTTTGGTTCATGCTCACAGTCGCTTAACAGCTGGTTTTACATCACCCAATACATCAACATCAAAATTAGATATTAGTTTAACATCAGCTGAACAGGCTTTAATGGATAAACGCATCACTCCAGATATGCCGTTATGGCAATTTTATCTCTATAAGTAAGTCTTTCATAATATTATGTTTATTGATAAAATTACCACCTTTATGCATAAATTATCAGTCATCTGTGAATAAAGCATAAATAAATTATGTATTTTCAAATTACTAACCTTCAATACAGATTACAGTATAACATTTGGTCTACCTGCTATTTTCAGATTACTAACCTTCAATACCGATTACAGTATAACATTTGGTCTAGCTGCCATATTAACTATAAAATATGTATTTTCAGATTACTAACCTTCAATACAGATTTCAGTATAACATTTGGTCTAGCTGCCATATTAACTATAAAATATGTATTTTCAGATTACTAACCTTCAATACAGATTGCAGTATAACATTTGGTCTAGCTGCCATATTAACTATAAAATATGTATTTTCAGATTACTAACCTTCAATACAGATTACAGTATAACATTTGGTCTAGCTGCTATATTAGCTATAAAATATGTATTTTTTGATGAGAGTGTAGACAGAGAGGTGCAGAAATTAATCCAGGATCATGATGTAACAAAAGATATTTCAACATCTACTAGTATGAATACTATTATTCAGTCAAACGGTAAGTCATTTATATACAAAGCAATTTTTGCTTTTTCTATTTTGTGCAATATATTATGATGGTGAGTGTTAAAACTTAAACCAATACCAAGCTCTAGTCTCCAGGAGATAGCATGTTAAATGAAATGTGTGACATTCTAGGTCATATACCTGTAATAGAAGAAGAAAAAGATTATAAAAATGATGCATCATTTATAATTGGTGATTCTGATAGTGATGATGATGATAGTTCTAAAGAAGATAAAGAGACCCAAACTGAACTAGTAGATGATTTCACCCAATTAGAATTATTACAGTCACCAGCTAAACCACGTTCTTTAGAACATTGTATTGCCACTTTAAAATCTGATGTAAGTTGAATCTCTTTTTTATGAGAAAAAATACTTTTGATTTCAATGGAGTGTTTCTTAGATATTTTGAAAGATTCTTATCTTGTGATACTGCCTTAACCATCTTCACAACTGCAGGTTTTTTTCACTGACTAATAACCACAGTTCTTGTATAACGGAAGTAAGTAAATGCTGCGATTTGATTGGATTGTACACTAGCAGAGCTGTCATAATGTTTACAGTCTAACTGTCGAGGGCTCTGATTAGCTGTTTTCACTGGTGTGCAATCCAATCAAATAGCTACACTACACAATATTGGTTATTGCTGTTAGGATCTAAGACGAAAATGCAAATACAAATTTTAATGAAAAAATATTCTGTATGATTATAGAGTGGACCAAATAGTTTAACAGATGAAGAAATATTAATGTTAGTTGGTAGTAAACATATTCCAGCTTATAAATTAGAAAATATGTTAGGTGATCATGTTAGAGGAGTTGGTATCAGGTAAATATCATTTTTACTCTCCATTTGAATGTTTCTAATTTCAACATATTCTAAATATACCAAGCATATCAAGTTGATCTTTTTTTTTATATAATTTTAAATCTTGTTTCATTGTAGACGAAAATTAATATCTAAAACATTACCTGATATAGAGGCTTTACAGAAATTACCTTTTATGCATTATGATTATACTTATGTAAGTTAACAAAGTTATAATATTGTCTTATACAGATATATTCAATTGCTACAAATTAATTTCAGTAATATTTAAAGATGGGTTTCCTTATTTTTTTAGTGTCAAATTAAGCAATCTATGTGATTAATTATGAATGAATTATGTATTCATAAATTTCCATGTATATACAGTCTGAATAAACTAAAAAAAGAATTGGAATTCTGTTGGTAATTCTCTTCTAATTTAGCTAATTATGAATTAATTATTGACATGTGAGACAAACTGGTATTTTTCCATGTCATTAGAACACCTCTACTTTCTTTTCATATGATGAAAATAAGGGAACCTATCTTTAAATAGGCAATTCCATTTGGAATTTGATGAAGGGAATGATTTCTTACATATAGTCCAGAATTTGTTTACTAGAAAGTCGTCAATACTGATTTGGACAGAAAGATAGCTGCACATATACAGTCTTATGTTGTTGTTTGGTGATGTTCCATTTACTATTAAATGGTTTTGTAAATTGAATGTTTATATGTACTTGTATTATGATCTAATGTTATATTATAATGTAGGTTGAAGGAGCTTGTTGTGAGAATGTAGTAGGTTATATGCCTGTACCAGTTGGTGTAGCTGGTCCTTTATTACTCAATGATAAAAGATATCATATACCAATGGCCACTACAGAAGGTTGTTTAATAGCTAGTACTAATAGAGGATGTCGTGCAATAGAGGTAGGAAACTTACATTTTTGATGATGACCATAAACCAGCTTGCAGGCCAGATTTCAGGAATTGATTTCCAAAATCTTGAAAGGAAAAGAAACCATGAAATTAGCTGCAATAGACATGTATTTTCCTACCAGCTTTCTACAAAACATGTTTAAAAACTGAAAATTGCATTGAGACAGACATGAATATAGTTTGACAGCCATCTTGGATCATACACAACTGAAGAAATAATTGACCAGTTTTCTGTAGAAACAGCAAGCACATGCTGTCAATGCACTGCAAGTTTTTTGTCTCATTTTGTTTAATTCTGACAAAGTTTGGTTGATTTGTCTTCAGCAAAGTGGTGGAGCATTAAGTACAGTTATTGGTGAGGGAATGACCAGAGGACCAGTAGTAAGATTTGTAACAGCTAAAAAAGCTAGTGAAGTCAAACTGTGGTTAGAAAAAGAAGAAAATTTCCAACAAGTGGAGGAATGTTTCAATATGACCAGCAGGTAATGTTGACTTCTGTTTTATATATATTTGTATAGTGACAACCATTTTGCACTTATTTTTCCCCATTTCTAAACAACATTAACAAGATGATACCTTGGCATTTTTCAACCTGATTTCTCCTGTGTTATTGATGCAGGTTGGAAGGACTGACATGGAAGGGATGGGACAATAAACTGAGGTCCTGTGCATGTTCAAACTCTTCAACAGATGGAAAAGGAAAAAAAAAGAATGCTTAAGCAAACAATTTCTCACATTGCACCCTGCATAGCATTGAGAGACTGGATGTTTGATAAATTTGCTAAAATTTCAATGACATGTGTTTATTGGTCAGATATAGGATGGGTTTGAATATGACAATTTGTCACATACACGTAACTTTTTTGCTAATTTCAGATTTGCAAGGTTACAAAAATTACATATAGCTCAAGGTGGAAGATGTTTATATATAAGATTTGTAGCGTCTACTGGAGATGCTATGGGAATGAATATGTTATCAAAGGTAAGAATGGAATGCTTGTTTAGTTAAAAATCACTTAAAGAGCTAATGAAAATAATTCAAGGTGAATTGCTGTCCACTGCAAAATTTATTCAAAATATAATGTGCTTTATTTTTTTATTTTAGGGCACAGAAAGAGCATTAAATTTTATTGTAGAACAGCATCCTGAGATGGAAATTGTTAGTTTAAGTGGTAATTATTGTACAGATAAGAAACCTGCTGCTATTAATTGGTAAGACATCATACTTTCACTTTTAATGGTGGCTCAATTTTAGTTAATAAGAGTATTGCAGAAGACAGAAGAAGCTCTATAGTAGGAAAGAGATAATGCGTTACAATGGCAGGATAGTCTTAGAATTGAAATGTTTGGTTAGGACAAATATGAACTGATAACCTACAGGCTGTAAATATTGTTAAAGTCACCACCAGCTTCTCCATCTTCTGTCCTTGGGTCATTTCTATTGTATATCACTATCAGTTCTCATTAACTTCATCATACTCATGAAAATTTCATTGTATTTTTTTGCAGGATTGAAGGTCGTGGAAAATCAGTAGTAACAGAAGCTATTATACCAGCTAATATAGTTAAAACAGTATTAAAAACAACGGTACCAGCTCTTGTTGAATTGAATATTAATAAAAATCTGGTAGGATCAGCCATGGCCGGCAGTATTGGTGGTTTTAATGCTCATGCTGCTAATATAGTAACAGCTATTTATATTGCTACTGGACAGGTTAGTTTCATACTTTTATAAACACTCTTTTATGATAATGATCTATAATGAAATCTATATTGAGACAATTGCCAAAAAAACAAATTCTCCTGTTTGAAGATCATTTTGTTATCAAATTGGTTATGCTGAAGAAAACTTTGGTACCTCTTCTTATTACATGCTTTCAGAGATCACCATTCTGAAGGACTTCAAAGAGTTTAATAAATTCAACCCAATTCATTGAAATATTCAATAGTTAAATTAAACCAGGGATATAAAAGAAGGTGCATAAAATCAATTAGCACTCTTCACAGAAACACCAATATTAGTGTCTCTTATTACAGGACCCAGCCCAGAATATTGCTAGTTCTAATTGCATAACATTAATGGAAGCTACAGGACCAACACATGAGGATTTACATATAACCTGTACAATGCCATCAATAGAATTAGGTACTGTAGGCGGTGGAACTGTCCTACCACCACAAGCTGCTTGCTTACAGGTAAGGTGTTGTTGAATATTTCTATTTATAGATGTTAAAAGCTCTTGTTTCTATTTATAGATGCTAGGTGTTAAGGACTCTGTTTCTATTTATAGATGCTAGGTGTTAAATACTCTATTTATAGATGCTAGGTGTTAAGGACTCTGTTTCTATTTATAGATGCTAGGTGTTAAATACTCTATTTATAGATGCTAGGTGTTAAGGACTCTGTTTCTATTTATAGATGCTAGGTGTTAAATACTCTATTTATAGATGCTAGGTGTTAAATACTCTATTTATAGATGCTAGGTGTTAAATATTCTATTTATAGATGCTAGATGTTAAATACTCTATTTATAGATGCTAGGTGTTAAATACTCTATTTATAGATGCTAGGTGTTAAATACTCTATTTATAGATGCTAGGTGTTAAATACGCTATTTATAGATGCTAGGTGTTAAATATTCTATTTATAGATGCTAGGTGTTAAATACTCTATTTATAGATGCTAGGTGTTAAATACTCTATTTATAGATGCTAGGTGTTAAATACTCTATTTATAGATGCTAGGTGTTTATAGATGCTAGGTGTTAAATACTCTATTTATAGATGCTAGGTGTTAAATACTCTATTTATAGATGCTAGGTGTTTATAGATGCTAGGTGTTAAATACTCTATTTATAGATGCTAGGTGTTAAATACTCTATTTATAGATGCTAGGTGTTTATAGATGCTAGGTGTTAAATACTCTATTTATAGATGCTAGGTGTTAAAGACTATTATTTCTATTTATAGATGTTAGGTGTTAAAGGTGCTAGTCAAGAATCACCTGGTGATAATGCTAGGTTATTAGCTCAGATCGTGTGTACTACTGTTTTGGCCGGTGAATTATCTTTAATGTCAGCTCTAGCTGCTGGTCATCTTGTAAAAAGTCATCTGAAACATAACAGGTTAGTGTCAACTATCTTTTATGATATTTATAGGTTTGACACCAGCAGATAAGTCACTCTTGACTACTCAGTCCAAAACAAGAAATTGTGTGCTTGCTTTATTCGTATAAATGTTAGCACTGTTTCATGTTAATTTCAAGATGAAAGCATCAATGCAAGAAATTAAGTCACTGTTGAAATTCAAACAAAATAGCAAAAGGCAAAAAATATGATCTTTTATGGATAGATTTTGTTAAAATTCTATTTTGTTAATATTATAGATCCAGTCTAAATGTAGCTTCCAGTGCAAATTTAGCAAGAAGACCAAGTGAAATTATAAAAATGCCAGGAACTTGTACCAGCTTGGCATCCTGAAATCAGACAAACTCAAACAACTTGTGATAATAAGAACTTATCAAAACTTTTGTTTATTATTTATTTTATAAAAACAACTGTCTGTGGGAGAAATCTGTTTCCAGCAAAACAAGAAATTTGTTTCCAATCAAAAATAGAAATCTGTTCCCAGCAAAGCAAGAAATCTGTTTCCAGCTAAAATAGAAATCTTTTTCCAACTAAACTGAAAATCTGTTTTAAGCAGAAATTTGGTTCCAACAAAACAAGAAATCTGTTTCCAACTAAACTGAAAATCTGTTACTAGCAGAAATTTGGTTCCAGCAAAAGAGGAAAACTGTTTCCAGCAAAAATAGAAATCTGATTCCAGCAAAAGTAGAAATGTTTCCAGCAAAAATAGAAATCTGATTCCAGCAAAAGTAGAAATCTGTTTCCAGCAATAATAGAAAATATGTTGAAGAAAATCTGAATATGTTTCCATCAAGACTTTATATGTATATTAAAAAAAGGTAGAAATCCATCAACAATTAAACATGGTGCTAAAAGTTTGAAGCTGGATAATTTATTACATGCATTGTGACATAAATATCAGGAAGATTGGCACCAGCTTTTCCTGAAAGAAACATGAAATATGAATGTTATTTGTTATATTTTCAAATATAAACCATAAATTATTTTTATTTATTACTTAATTTCATTGTTTACTATTGGTTGTGTTAAATTCCTACTGGAGGGCAATATCATAAATAAGCTCTTGGTTGAGCTTAAGGAGAAAAAGCTGTCTAAGTATTTACTAACATGATGATAGAGCTGAATTTTATCGTTTTCTTCTTACCACTATAACGAATGAATTCAAACATGTAGTGGGCTTGAATAAAAATGTTCATGTAAAAAAGACAAAAGTCCCAAGTCTCCAGATCTTGGTTGATATTCTATTATGAAGATAGCATTTCTACATGTCCTAATTCTGTTAAACACAAAGCAAAAGAACCACTATATCTGTTCCATTTGGTGTATTTTCAAAAAGCCTAAGGTGTAGAATTTTGATTACCTTAAACCACAAAACAGTGTTAAACCACCTCATTAATACTTCAATGGACTAATTCAATTAACTTGCTGGTGAAAGAACATAAATGTTCATGTTAATTGTCAAACCAAATGCATTGAAATAACAAATTGCAAAGTTATGAATCCTAATGTCTTTTCTGAAGGTAAGCCTACTATAAGTAAGCTTCATCTATTGTACACTCTTGAGCCACTAAACCACATTAAAAAGGTTTCCTTGAAATATTTTCCAAAGATTTATATATTTTTATATTGAAATGGTATGATCACTATAGCTTTAAAAATACTTTCAAATACTTTCCTACTTAGACTTTGTGGCTCTTTGATAAAGCTTAAAACTTACCCTCGCTATCTTTGGAAAAACTGTCGATGAATTTTTCACTTCAACTAAATTATTGAACACCTTGAATAAATACTTACATGGTTTGTTAAATTCCCTTCGGCCCAAGTACTGGATCTGTTAGTATGAAAGAGCCACACTCACTGTGTAGAAACTAAACTGTTATAGTATGATAAATTGAGTTGTTTACGTTTTGTTAATTTGTTGTAAATAATGAAATAAAAAAAAGAAACACCAATGGCTCATTTCATGGCAGTAAATACAAGTCAATGTTGGAATTGGTATCAAGAGCTATATTGACAAATGGAATGCGTTTTTGAAATGTGTATTTATTATTGAGAAGATGTGCTAGTTCCGCACAATGTCGTGAATAAAGACTGTAGTCAAAGCAACAAATTATGTCCACAACATGTGCTTTCTTTGCTCTTTGTATTCTGATTTCATTTCAAGCTAATGTTTTAACTCTGATGAAAAGTTAATTACTAAAGAAAGTTATTTGTTTATTCTGGTTACTAAAACTTTGCAATGATGTTAAGTTTCTTTGCGGGCACATTCACAGAAATGTCAAGAGATATGAGCCAAGTTTATAAACATCTGGATTGCGATACGTATTATCGTGTCTTGTTCTGAAATCACAAGGATATCTCCAGTAGATATTACTAACCCAAGTGATATGTAAAAATGGGCTTTTACTTAAAGTAGCTCTCTGGAATCTGGAGAGCCTTGCTGGAATACCTAAAGGATCCTACAATATTCCAATGCTTGGAACCCATGGAGCAAGATTCCGGAAAATACATGTGCAAACTAAAGAAAATAAATTGTTATTTTATTAATCTTGGTAATTGAAATGGAAATAGGTCAGTGTGGCAATTTACTAGAGTTTCAGTAGGGCATTTGACAACTAGGTTAGTAGGTCAGGGGCTTATAGTTTCATTAGAAGGACAGCAGATTAATAGGTCAAGGGCTTATAGTTTCATTAGAAGGGCAGTAGCTTAATAGGTCAGGGGCTTAAAGTTTCATTAGAAGGACAGTAGGTTAAAAGGTCGGGGGCTTATAGTTTTATTAGAAGGGCAGTAGGTTAATAGGTCAGGGGCTTATAGTTTCATTAGAAGGACAGTAGGTTAATAGGTCAGGGGCTAATAGTTTCATAAGAAAGACAGTAGATTAATCGGCCAGGGGCTTATAGTTTCAATAGAAAGGCAGTGGGTTAATAGGTCAGGGGCTTATAGTTTCATTAGAAGGGCAGTAGCTTAATAGGCCAGGGGCTTATAGTTTCATTAGAAGGACAGCAGGTTAATAGGTCAGGGGCTTATAGTTTCATTAGAAGGGCAGTAGGTTAATAGGTCAGGGGCCTATAATAGTTTCATTAGAAGGGCAGTAGGTTAATAGGTCAGCGGCTTATAGTTTCATTAGAAAGACAGTAGATTAATCGGCCAGGGGCTTATAGTTTCAATAGAAAGGCAGTGGGTTAATAGGTCAGGGGCTTATAGTTTCAATAGAAAGGCAGTGGGTTAATAGGTCAGGGGCTTATAGTTTCATTAGAAAGACAGTAGGTTAATAGGTCAGGGGCTAATAGTTTCATTAGAAGGGCAGTAGGTTAATAGGTAAGGGGCTTATATTTTCAATAGAAAGGCAGTTTGTTAATAGGTCATGGGCTTATAGTTTCATTAGAAAGGCAGTGGGTTAATAGGTCAGGGGTTTATAGTTTCATTAGAAAGACAGTAGGTTAATAGGTCAAGGGTTTATAGTTTCAATAGAAAGACAGTGGGTTAATAGGTCAGGGGCTTATAGTTTCATTAGAAAGGCAGTAGGTTAATAGGTCAGGGGCTAATAGTTTCATTAGAAAGACAGTAGGTTAATAGGTCAGAGGAAAAGTTTCAATAGGAGTCAAGTAAGTTAATAGGTCAGTGGCACGGGAAGTAGGTCAATGGTTTTAGTTTCATTAGAAGGGCTGTAGTTTAATAGGTCATTGGTTTCATTAGAAGGCGGTAAGTAGATCAGTGGCCTATTGGACGGACACTAGGTCAGTAGGCTATTACAAGGGCAATTGGTTAATAGGTCAGTGGCACGGGAAGTAGGTCAATTGTTTTAGTTTCATTAGAAGGGCAGTGGATTAATAGGTCAGTGGCTTATATTTTAAATAGAAGGTTAGTGGAACAGTGGCTTATAGTTTTATTAGAAGGGCAGTGGCTTATACTTTAAATAGAAGATTATCAGTTTCGAGTTTCATTGCACACTGACTGGCATTGTCCGTCTTCATTATTCTAATAGGGCAGTAGGTTAGTAGGTCAGTGGCTTATAGTTTCAATGGAAGGTTAGTGGGACAGTGGCTTATAGTTTATAATTATGGGGTTGGTAGATAAGTGGGTTTTTTTTATAGGTGAGTGGCCTATTGTTTCTTTAGAAAGGCAGTGGGTTAGTAGGTCAGTGGCTTATATTTTAAATAGAAGGTTAGTGGGACAGTGGCTTATAATTGTATTAGAAGGGCAGTGGCTTATACTTTAAATAGATGGTTATCGGTTTCGAGTTTCATTGCACACTGACTGGCATTGTCCGTCTTCGTTATGCTAATAATGTGCAGAAAAATACAATTTCATTTGTAATTCGGTTTATAATCATTTCATTATTCGAGGACGTGAGCGTTAATTGGGAGATGTGAAAAGATATATTAGGACAGGAACTAAGACACTATATAGCCTATATTGTTATTAGATCAATTTTCATGATTCTATGGTTTAATAATAGGTCTAACAGGTTTCTTATAGATGAAGGATGACTCCTAAATGTTTAAACCTTAAATTTGAGGTTAGGCTACTTATTTATCCCTCTTAAGTCTTTTATTAAGTGAACGTTATTTGTATATTTAATTCCGTGATTGTCCGGAACTCTATAATAATCATAACGTCATAATACTAGCCGAACCTCCGAAAAGTTCCGAAGCTAAGCGTAGCGTAGTTACTAACAATAGGACACATAGTGACCGGCATTAAAACAGTACTGTAAATTGTGTTATCTTGTTTTCAAGTCAATTTATTTTGGAATATGGGAGGCTTGTTTTCGGGTTGTCGGAAACCTACAGAACGGAAAAATGTCCGAAATATTCAAGTTCTTCCAGTCGGAAGCGTTGATGGTCATACACAGAAAACTGATTATGGAGTTTTCTGTGTATCCAACACAAAGTCTGTGAAGAACTCGACTACTGGTGAAACTTCTGATACACCAACAAAATCTTCATCACCAACAGAAGATTTTAAGTTGGAAGACGAAGAAGATAGTGTTTCAGAAGAAGGAAAGAAAGAATGTCCACCTCAGAAAGGAGAAGTGCCAGAATCTCTTGGTAAGAATCTGTGTTTATAAATTGAACTAATATATCTGGTTACAGAACTATCTTTAATAACTTATTTTATAAATCATTGTGAAAATAAAACCGATTGTGTAAATTAACTTAACATTTAATATAAAATACTACCTTATTATAGGAGTGAAGAAATTGAGTGAAGAAAATGTGAAGACCATACTGGAACAAGAAGGTCTGGTTACCAATCTCAAAGGTCTTTCATCTAAAGGACTGGCCTTTGAGATTGTGGAAATATCAAGGGATGATGTAGTACCTCCAGCAAGATTGGGGGAAATAATAAAAAGCAGAGAAAAGCGAGCAGAACCAACTGTGGAGGAGATAAAGCAAAAACTCTTTGAAGCAGAACGGCGCCGCAAAGTAAGTTTTTTTTCTATTTAAACTTATCATCATCAGACATCAGTCCATCAAATGTATTATATGTAAGAATGATCATCATCAACATCAGTAGCCATTAAATCTATTAATTTATTCTTCTCCTATTCTTGTAGCAATTGGAAGAGGAACGAATAATTCGAGTTCGAGCCATGAAAAAAACAGAAACTGCTGGTGCTATCAAGGCCTATGAACAAAAGCAAAAGGCCTTGGAAGACCAGCAGACTCAAAAAATGGATGTCGCCGTGGCTGCTCGCCAGAATCATCTCCGTGAAATCAGAGACAAATTAAAGGAGAAAAGAAGACATGCCAATCTAGTTCGTCAGCGAAAAAATCTAAACCTGGATGATATGGATCCACCACCACCAGAAGAGCCACGTTTTAGATTTCATCATAACTGAATTATTTGTTCTTTTTTTTCTTTTTTTGGAGCGGGAGGGGATTAATAATTCCTGATTTATTTCTCAATAGGCTAGTCCAACCCCAAAGTATTTACTACAGTATACACAGTTTGATACGTTTGTGGTGATGATGAGATCAGTAATGATTAATAGTCAGATTGTATTTTGTAGTTGAGGCCAATATCTTATTCGTCAGGTCCTTAAAGGGATTGTAAAGAGTTTTTCTTTTTTTTGTGTATCGGGATCACTGATAGGTTCAATTTGCACCATTCTAATTTCAATCAGACGTTTGTGCTTTCCGCAATTCTACAGAAATTTGTGTTGGATGACGTCACTAATCGCAAACTATGCCCAAGTCCCTTGCGATTAGTGATGTCATCAAACACTTAGTTTTAGTGGAATTGCAGGATCTATTGACGTTTAATTGAGATTTAGAGTGGTGAAAATTGATGCTATCAGTGTCCCAGATATACAATAAAAATATCATTGTGTATATCTGGGACACTGATAAGTTCAATTTGTACCATTCTAATTTCAGTCCGACGTCTGTGGTTCCTGCAATTACACAGAAATTTGTGTTGGATGTCGTCACTAATCGCAAAATATGCCCAAGTCTCTTGCGATTAGTGACATCATCAAGCGCTTAGTGCTTCCTGCAATTCTACAGAAATTTGTGTTGGATAACGTTATTAATCGCAAACTATGCCCAAGTCCTTTGCGATTAGTGATGTCTTAAAACACTTAGTTTTAGTGGAATTGTAGGATCTACAGACGTTTAATTGAGATTTGGAATGGTGAAAATTGATGCTATCAGTGTCCCCGATATACAATAAAAATAGCATTGTGTGTATCTGGGATACTGATAAGTTCAATTTGTACCATTCTAATTTCAGTCCGACGTCTGTGGTTCCTGCAATTCTACAGAAATTTGTGTTGGATTACGTTATTAATCGCAAACTATGCCCAAGTCCTTTGCGATTAGTGATGTCTTAAAACACTTAGTTTTAGTGGAATTGTAGGATCTACAGACGTTTAATTGAGATTTAGAGTGGTGAAAATTGATGCTATCAGTGTCCCCGATATACAATAAAAATAGCATTGTGTGTATCTGGGACACTGATAGGTTCAATTTGCACCATTCTAATTTCAATCAGGCGGCTATGGTTTCCGCAATTCCAAAGAAATTTGTGTTGGATGATGTCACTAATCGCAAGATATGCCCAAGTCTCTTGCGATTAGTGACATCATAAAGCACTTAGTGGTTCCTGCAATTACACAGAAATTTGTGTTGGATGACGTCACTAATCGTAAAATATGCCCAAGTCTTTTGCGATTAGTGATGTCATCGAACACTTAGTCTTAGTGGAATTTGAAGGATCTACAGACGTTTATTTGAGATTTGGAATGGTGAAAATTGATGCTATCAGTGTCCCCGATATACAATAAAAATAGCATTGTGTGTATCTGGGATACTGATTCAATACAGGTTCAATTTGCACCATTCTAATTTCAGTCCGACATCTGTGGTTTCTGAAATTACACAGAAATTTGTGTTGGGTGACGTCACTAATCGCAAAATATGCCCAAGTCCTTGTGCTTAGTGACTTCATCAAACACTTAGTTTTAGACGAATTGCAGGAACCACAGACGTCTGATTGAATTTGAAAAATTGTAGCTACCATTGCCCCCTATACACATGAAATTTTTAGAAAACCTTTTTACAATCCCTTTAACATTTTATATTATATTTGGTAATTTTAAACTCATACTGTCGGGAGATGAGTCAACATCCTTCAAGCTGGTCTCGAGTCTGAGTAAATCTCCTCTCCTCCCCTCTGACTTCAAGTAAAGTTTTTGTTTTTTACTGTTATAAAAGATTTATTATTAATAAACTTAAATAGAAGAATGTTTTTTTTTTAATTAATATTACCTATCAAGTATAGTTCATGTGAGAAAAGATACAATACAACACTTCAGGTATTTTCGCACCTTCACCCAATCTGTTCCGATGCCTTTTATCCAGTCAGGGGCTTATAGTTTCATTAGAAGGGCACTAGGTTAATAGGTCAGGGCCTTATAGTTTCATTAGAAGAGCAGTAGGTTAATAGGTCAGGGGCTTATAGTTTCATTAGAAGAGCAGTAGGTTAATAGGTCAGGGGCTTATAGTTTCATTAGAAGAGCAGTAGGTTAATAGGTCAGGGGCTTTTAGTTTCATTAGAAGGACAGCAGATTAATAGGTCAGGGGCTAATAGTTTCATTAGAAGGGCAGTAGGTTAATAGGTCAGGATCTAATGGTTTCATTAGAAGGGTTGTAGGTTAATAGGTCAGTGTCTTATAGTTTCAATAGAAGAGCAGTGGGTTATTAGGTCAGTGGCCTATGATTTCGTAGTTAAGGAGGTTAGTAGGTCACTTGCCTTTAGTTCCATAAAGAGGACAGGTCCATAAGGTCAGTGTCTTATGGTTCCAATAGAAGGAAAGTAGGTTAATTGGTCAGTGGCCGATATTTCATTAAAAGCTTGGTAGGTAAGTAGGTCAGTTGCATTTAGTTCCATAAGGGCGGTAGATTAGTAGGTTTGTGGCCTATAAGAAATGCAGTAGATAAGTGACTTAAAGGTTCATTAGGGCAGTAGGCCAATGGCTTTAAGTTCAATTTAAAGGGTAGTTGGTCGGTGGCATCTAGTTTCAATAGGAGTCAAGTAAATTTATAGGTCAGTGGCACGGGAAGTAGGTCAATGGTTTTAGTTTCATTAGAAGGATGTAGTTTAATAGGTCATTGGTTTCATTAGAAGGCGGTAAGTAGATCAGTGGCCTATTGAACGGACAATAGGTTAGTAGGCCATTAGAAGGGCAGTTGGTTAATACGTCAGTGGCACGGGAAGTAGGTCAATTGTTTTAGTTTCATTAGAAGGGCAGTAGGTTAATAGGTCAGTGTTTTTTTTATAGGTGAGTGGCCTATTGTTTCATTAGAAAGGCAATGGGTTAGTAGGTCAGTGGATTACATTTTAAATAGAAGGTTAGTGGGACAGTGGCTTATAGATTTATTAGAAGGGCAGTGGCTTATAGTTTAAATAGAAGATTATCAGTTTCGAGTTTCATTGCATACTGACTGGCATTGTCCGTCTTCATTATGCTAATAATGTGCAGAAAAATATAATTTCATTTGTGATCGGTTTATAATCTGTTCAATATTCTAATACGAGAGCTTTAATTGGGAAATGTGAAGAGATATATTAGGACTGGGACTAAGGCACTATATTGTTATTAGATCAATTTTCATGATTCTATGGTATAATAATAGGTCTAACAGGTTTCTTATAGATGAAGGATGACTCCTAAATGTTTAAACCTTAAATTTGAGGTTAGACTACTTATTTATCCCTCTTAAGTCTTTTATTAAGTGAACGTTATTTGTATATTTAATTCCGTGATTGTCCGGAACTCTATAATAATCATAACGTCATAATACAAGCCAAACCTCCGAAAAGTTCCGAAGCTAAGCGTAGCGTAGTTACTAACAATAGGACACATAGTGACCGGCATTAAAACAGTGCTGTAAATTGTGTTTTATTGTTTTCAAATCAATTTATTTTGGAATATGGGAGGTTTGTTTTCGAGTTGTCGGAAACCTACCGAACGGAAAAATGTCCGAAATATTCAAGTTCTTCCAGTCGGAAACGCTGATGGTCATTCACAGAAAACTGATTATGGAGTTTTCTGTGTATCCAACACAAAGTCTGTGAAGAACTCGAGTACTGGTGAAACTTCTGATGCACAAACAAAATCTTCATCACCAACAGAAGATTTTAAGTTGGAAGAAGAAGAAGATAGTGTTTCAGAAGAAGGAAAGAAAGAATGTCCACCTGAGAAAGGAGTAGCACCAGAATCTCTTGGTAAGAATCTGTGTTTATAAATTGAACTGATATATCTGGTTACAGAACTATCTTTAATAACTTTTTTTATAAATCATTGTGAAAATAAAACCGATTGTGTAAATTAACTTTAACACTGCAACAATGTAACATTTTATATTAAATACTACCTTATTGTAGGAGTGAAGAAATTGAGTGAAGAAAATGTGAAGACCATACTGGTACAAGAAGGTCTGGTTACCAATCTCAAAGGTCTTTCATCTAAAGGACTAGCCTTTGAGATTGTGGAAAAATCAAGGGATGATGTAGTACCTCCAGCAAGATTGGAGGAAATAATAAAAAGTAGAGAAAAGCGAGCAGAACCAACTGTGGAGGAGATAAAGAAAAAACTCTTTGAAGCAGAACGGCGCCGCAAAGTAAGGTTTTTTTATTATTTAAACTTATCATCATCAGACATCAGTCCATCAAATGTATTATATGTGAGAATGATCATCAACATCAGTAGCCATTAAATCTATTAATTTATTCTTCTCCTATTCTTGTAGCAATTGGAAGAGGAACGAATAATTCGAGTTCGAGCCATGAAAAAAACAGAAACTGCTGGTGCTATCAAGGCCTATGAACAAAAGCAAAAGGCCTTGGAAGACCAGCAGACTCAAAAAATGGATGTCGCCGTGGCTGCTCGCCAGAATCATCTCCGTGAAATCAGAGACAAATTAAAGGAGAAAAGAAGACATGCCAATCTAGTTCGTCAGCGAAAAAATCTAAACCTGGATGATATGGATCCACCACCACCAGAAGAGCCACGTTTTAGATTTCATCATAACTGAATTATTTGTTCTTTTTTTTCTTTTTTTTGGAGCGGGAGGGGAATTAATAATTCCTGATTTATTTCTCAATAGGCTAGTCCAACCCCGAAGTATACACTACAGTACATACAGTTTGATACGTTTGTGGTGATGATGAGATCTTTAATAATTAATAGACTGTATTTTGTAGTTGAGGCAAATATCTTATTCGTCAGGTCTTTAAAGGGATTGTAAAGAGATTTTCTTTTTTATGTGTATCGGGATCACTGTTATGTTCAATTTGCACCATTCTAATTTCAATCAGGCGGCTATGGTTTCCGCAATTCCAAAGAAATTTGTGTTGGATGATGTCATTAATCGGAAGATATGCCCAAGTCTCTTGCGATTAGTGACATCATAAAGCACTTAGTGGTTCCTGCAATTACACAGAAATTTGTGTTGGATGACGTCACTAATCGCAAACTATGCCCAAGTCTTTTGCGATTAGTGATGTCATCAAACACTTAGTTTTAGTGGAATTGCAGGATCTACAGACGTTTAATTGAGATTTAGAGTGGTGAAAATTGATGCTATCAGTGTCCCCGATATACAATAAAAATAGCATTGTGTGTATCTGGGATACTGATAGGTTATTTGCACCATTCTAATTTCAGTCCAACGTCTGTGGTTCCTGCAATTACACAGAAATTTGTGTTGGATGACGTCACTAATCGCAAAATATGTCCAAGTCCTTGCGCTTAGTGACTTCATCAAACATTTAGTTTTAGACGAATTGCAGGAACCACAGACGTCTGATTGAATTTGAAATGGTGCAAATTGATGCTACCATTGCCCCCGATACACATGAAATTTTTAGAAAACCTTTTTACAACCCCTCTAACATTTTATATTGTATTTGGTAATTTTAGATTCATACTGTCTCGAGTCTGAGTGAATCTCCTCTCCTCCCCTCTGACTTCAAGTAAAGTTTGGGTTTTTACCGTTATAAAAGATTTATTATGAATAAACTTAAATAGAAGAATGTTGTTTTTAAATCACTATTACCTATCAAGTATAGTACATGTGAGAAAAGATACAATACAACACTTCAGGTATTTTCGCACAAAGTCATTCACTCACCCAAATCTATTCCTATGCCTTGGAGCCTTTTACCCAGTGTCGTAGTCAGGATCAAGCCCGAAGGGGGGGGGAGGGGGGGCTGCCCGAGATTGCCCGAATTTCTAACTAATTATAAGATTTATAAGTTATCTTGCTTTCGGGACTGTGGGGGGTGGGGGCCACTGCCCCCTCTGTCCCCCTATGGCTCCGCCACTGCTTTTATCCTCTCCACTTGCACTCCACAATCTGTTGTATTTGTTACTAGCAGAGAAACGAAAACGGTCGGTTAATAAGTCCATTAGAAAGCTAATTTGGCACGATTTTAGCCAAGTCAAGGGCCATAATAATGAATGATCAAATACAAGTAAGATTGCAACAAGATATCCAATACCTGTATCAAAACTAGATCAAAACTATCTATGACCGCCATAAACATCTGCATCGAGAAGTGGACATTTACAAATTAAACTTAATGTCAAAATTTATTCACGGTTTTAATTTCTTTGACATGTTATAATTGTGATGTTCAAGATCATTGCCGGTTTTCTTCCTTTTCATTTTAACAACTGGTTTGGTACTGTCTAATATTCCATCATATAATCTCGTTCTCATAGGCCATTTCTGAAACATATAATGTATTTTTGGACTTAGAAACCAACAGGCTATGTTATCTTGATACAGTAAAGGTGTCGGAGTTAGACAACATCTAACCTTTGATATAGAAGTAATAAGAATGCCATTTTGTAAGGGCAGTTGCCTTTTAGGGTTCAGTGTTCTCTACAGTATGATACAAATATATATGTAGGATGACAGCACCTCGTTTGTGCTCAGAAAGTATTCTGCAACTATAGAAATTTATTTTAAAATACGTCTGCCTTTACAATATCCCATACAAACAATTTAAGCAAAATGTTCTTACCTTAACTGGATGGTAAACGGGAACTGTTGAATTTTCAGTAGCACGAGATAAACTATAACTATCTAATGTTTTCATTAAATGAGAAATATATGTAGTAGCAAGAACTAACACATCTAATTTAGAAAGTTTTGTATCTGGTGGCACCGAGGGGAGAATTTCCTGGAGGTTCAAAAAGGCGGTACGAAGAGTCTTCACCCTGGATCTCTCCCTAGCTGCATTACTTACTGGTCGTCCACGACGTCTGGAACTATTTTCATGGGATGAATTTTCTATTCCTTCGTGATAACATTGAAGTTCGTCCTCCGAAACGCTTTGCGAGCAATTTGAAAACATTTTGAGGGTAAGGTCTAGTATGCTCCCGTTCTGTGTGACCTTTTCCTGAATATTTAGATCCAAAACAGCCAATGCTCGGGAACAGACAATTATAAATACTAATTTAATATTAAATTTAAAATCCAACAAAACATTTTCAAGCGTCACTTCACCGAACTGGTTTGCAGGAAAATAAACACTCTCAATGGTCAATTCATTGACACCTTATGCTTACCCGAATTATGTAACTACACTGAAGGCAAACATGAAATAGAATACCAAAGTTTATGCTGAAATCGAAACTCAAAGCACAGTTGCACTTTAATGGTTCAAAGTTTTTATTGTATATTCCAAAATGCGTATGATATCGTGTCAAACTGGGATATCACTACCATTTCCTTCAAAGTGGGATTTTGACATTCTGTTCCATACGTAAATAAAATAATAGATCTAATACACAATCTTGAATGACATTCATAAATTCTCTGTTTTCTATGTGATACCAATAACATTTTCTTTCATAAATATCAGAATTTCTTGGATGTGATATTGAACTTGGGCGATACGTACTAGCAGTTTGTCTAATTCATTGCTAGAGTAATTTCATGCACTCATATTACATGTTATTATTCACCGGTGTAAATTCTAAGCTTGTAAATGTTCTGTTGTAAAAAAAATTCTAGGGGGAGAGAGGAGTGACTTAAAAAACATCATTGAAAAAGGTCAGGCGCATAATTTTGTAGGGTGTTGTATGTTCTTCATTGGCAAAAAAGCGGCACAGAACGGACATTAATATGCCTATGACACATCTCATTCATCGTTGGTGTGTGCCATTTGAATTTTCAGTTTGGTGTCTATAGTCAAATGTCAAGAAAGATCTATATTTTGACACAGATCGTTTTGTTTGGCGCACAACTACCTATCCCATGTCACTATGTTGAAATAATGGATGCTGTTACTGAAATGGACACGGAAAGAAACAACAAGCCCTCTTGTGCTAGTCTTTACAACATAAGAACAGTTTGTAAATAAAAATAAGATAGTTTTGTGCAACCGTTTCGCATGCGTCATACACGGGTGTACTTGTATCGCCCAAACTCACTTACAAGACAAATATCGCAGAGAGAAAAATTCAAAGTGGATATTTCCTGGGTTAAAGCACGTATATTGAGATTATCTTACGATGTGTTAGTATTGACTCTCAGAACATTTAGATTATTCATCAATTGTCAATGAAACAATGGAATTCTGAGAAATCTGGTTCTACTAGACCTTTTAAAACAATTCACAATTAATAGAGAAACACCCTGAGGCATTGAAACTGACACTCTCTATAACATTATTTTCACTTGACAATACATTCCTCCCTGGACCATATACATTTCTCTATCGTTTTATTTGATAGCAATGGAAAGGGGTGAATGGTGCACATTTTCTCCAAAAAACACGGACTGGGGCACACCAATCCTTAACTGCCCCTAGAGGTTAACTTAGTATCCAGGCATATGTAGCCCTACATGTATTTTTTCTGATCGATATAAGAATGAGACAATTTAGCTTCCTTTAAATATCAAATTAAACCCATGTGTAGATTGGTTCCATGGGTTCCAAGCATTGGAATATTGTGGGATCCTTAGGTTTTCCAGCACGGCTCTCCAGATTCCAGCGAGCTACTTTAAGTAATGATCCATTTTGTGGCCCTTGCCATGTCTTAAATAATATGTTTAATTAGCTTTTTCAATCTCTTATCAACCGACCCTTTTCGTCCCCCTGCTAAATACATTAAGGAGTGCAAGCAGAAAGGATAAAAGGCATCGGAACGGATTCTGGTGAATGAATGACTTGTTGCGAAAATACCTGAAGTGTTGTATTGTATCTTTTCTCACATACTTGATAGGTAATATTGATTTAAAAACAACATTCTTCTATTTAATTTTATTCATAATAAATCTTTTATAACAATAAAAATCCCAAACTTTACTTGAAGTCAGAGTGGAAGAGAGGATATTTACTCAGACTTGAGACCAGCTTGAAGGATGTTGACTCATTCCCGACAGTATGAATTTAAAATTACCAAATATGATATAAAATATTAAAGGGATTGTAAAAAGGTTTTCTAAAAATTTCATGTGTATCGGGGGCAATGGTAGCGTCAATTTGCACCATTTCAACTAGGTGTTTGGCGACGTTACTAAGCGCAAGAGACTTGGGCATATTTTGCGAATAGTGATGTCATCCAACACAAATTTCTGTGTAATTGCAGGAACCACTAAGTGCTTGATGATGTCACTAATCGCAAGAGACTTGGGCATATTTTGCGATTAGTGACGTCACCCAACACAAATTTCTGTGTAATTGCAGGAACCACAGACGCCTGATTGACATTGGAATGGTGCAAATTGAACTTATCAGTGTCCCAGATACACACAATGCTATTTTCATTGTATATCGGGACACTGATAGCATCAATTTCCACCATTCCCAATCTCAATTAAACGTAGATCCTGCAATTCGACTGAAACTAATCGCAAGGGACTTGGGCATATTTTGTGATTAGTGACGTCATCCAACACAAATTTCAGTGGAACTGCGGAAACCACAGACGTCTGATTGAAATTAGAATGATGCAAATTGAACCTATCAGTGATCCCGATACACAAAAAAAAAAGAAAAACTCTTTACAATCCCTTTAAAGACCTGGCGAATAAGATATTGGCCTCAACTACAAAATACAATCTAACTGTTAATTATCACAGATCTCATTATCACCACAACCGTATTAAACTGTTGGACTAGCCTATTGAGAAATAAATGTAACAATCAGGAATAATTAATCCCCCTTCCGCTCAAAAAAAAAAAATAAAAAAGAACAAATAATTCAGTTATGATGAAATCTAAAACGTGGCTCTTCTGGTGGTGGTGGATCCATATCATCCAGGTTTAGATTTTTTCGCTGACGAACTAGATTGGCATGTCTTCTTTTCTCCTTTAATTTGTCTCTGATTTCACGGAGATGATTCTGGCGAGCAGCCACGGCGACATCCATTTTTTGAGTCTGCTGGTCTTCCAATGCCTTTTGCTTTTGTTCATAGGCCTTGATAGCACCAGCAGTTTCTGTTTTTTTCATAGCTCGAACTCGAATTATTCGTTCCTCTTCCAATTGCTACAAGAATAGGAGCAGAATAAATTAATAGATTTAATGGCTACTGATGTTGATGATGATCATTCTTACATATAATACATTTGATGGACTGATGTCTGATGATGATAAGTTTAAATATAAAAAAAACCTTACTTTGCGGCGCCGTTCTGCTTCAAAGAGTTTTTGCTTTATCTCCTCCACAGTTGGTTCTGCTCGCTTTTCTCTACTTTTTATTATTTCCTCTAATCTTGCTGGAGGTACTACATCCTCCCTTGATTTTTCCACAATCTCAAAGGCCAGTCCTTTAGATGAAAGACCTTTGAGATTGGTTACCAGACCTTCTTGTACCAGTATGGTCTTCACATTTTCTTCACTCAATAATTTCTTCACTCCTACAATAAGGTTGTATTTAATATAAAATGTTACATTGTTGCAGTGTTAAAGTAAATTTATTCAATCGGTTTTATTTTCACAATGATTTATAAAATAAGTTATTAAAGATAGTTCTGTTACCAGATATATCAGTTCAATTTATAAACACAGATTCTTACCAAGAGATTCTGGCGCTTCTCCTTTCTGAGGTGGACATTCTTTCTTTCCTTCCGAAAAACTGTCTTCTTTTTCTTCCAAATTCGTATCTACTGTTGGTGGTGATGATTTTGTTGGTGTATCAGAAGTTTCACCAGTAGTCGAGTTCTTCGCAGACTTTGTGTTGGATACACAGAAGACTCCATAATCAGTTTTATGTGTATGACCATCAGCGTTTCCGACTGGAAGAACTTGAATATTTCGGACATTTTTCCGTTCGGTAGGTTTCCGACAACTCGAAAACAAACCTCCCATATTCCAAAATAAATTGATTTGAAAACAATAAAACACAATTTACAGCACTGTTTTAAGGCCGGTCACTATGTGTCTTATTGTTAGTAACTACGCTACGCTTAGCTTCGGAACTTTTCGGAGGTTCGGCTTGTATTATGACGTTATGATTATTATAGAGTTCCGGACAATCACGGAATTAAATATACAAATAACGTTCACTTAATAAAAATCTTAAAAGGGATAAATAAGTAGCCTAATTCAATAGAATGGATTTGATATATCCAGATACAGATATCTATGTACTATAACAAAAGTGATGCTGTTTAATGTTTAAACATTTAGGAGTCATCCTTCATCTATAAGAAACCTGTTAGACCTATTATTAAACCATAGAATCATGAAAATTGATCTAATAACAATATAGGCTATATAGTGTCTTAGTCCCTGAATTCATATGTTTCTTCACAATTTCCCCATTAAAGATGGGTTCTCTTATTTATGAAAATACTAATATGCTAACACTTATATGAATAGAAAGTACAGGAAAAATACCAGTTTGTCTCACATGTCCATAATTAATTCATAATTAGAAGAGAATTAACAGCAGAATTGCATTGTAATTATTATCTATAGTCCAGGTAACTGTCATGTATCACAAATTAAACTTTTAATTAAAACTATTTGTCTTTTGATTTAACAGTTCAATTTACTAATATTGAGAGTCAATATATCTTATTGATAATTCAACACATCTTCCGGATCTGGTATGTTAAGTATTTGGTAAAGCTAGGTTGTTTCAAATGACTGTTTGCAGTAGCAATTTCTAACCGATTATCATTTCAGAAGTTGTCTCATATTCCTTCTCAATCTGGAACCTTCTTGTAATTCAACTATAGATCGGGGAGAACCATGAGTTTCTATAACTTTCCCTTTTAGTAATTCTTTCTTTTCTTTTTTGACAATAGGATCATTTGGTTTTAAGTTTGATAAAGTTTTACTTCTGCTTTGTTATAATAAAACTCTTGTTTCTTCTGTTTCTGATAAAGGATATCTTTAATTATATAACCATCATCACATTTTTCTAGCCAGCCTCTTCCTATTGTTATTTTCAATTCTGTAAAATTTCATCTTCTTTATTGTATCTCTGGAATTCTTCATTCTGTTGTGGAGCTAAATTGGTAAGTATAAATTTAACTACATATTTCATTCACGTCTACTTCAGGTATTAATGTTTCAGTACTTTCAGGTAAGTAGTATCTTGATAATGTATCGGATACATACATTTCAGTTCCTGGTTTATGTTTATAACATTAAAATCATATTTTTTTAATGCGAGTATAAATTTTTGTATTTATGGAACTTCTAAAATGACTTTTTGAAGATATTTTCAAGTCTTTAAGGATCATTCTCAACATTAAAATGTCTTCCATATAGGTATTTGTGGAATTTCTGACATCTAAATAATATGGCTCAGATTTCTTTTTCTATCTGGGCTTATCTCTTTTGAATTTCATTCAAAGCTTTTAATGCAAAAGCTTTTGTTTATTTTTTCTTTAATGGAATTGATTCATCTATTTTAATATGGTGAGTACCTGGCATACATCCAAGGCCATTGAATAATTGAAAATATTCAGCTCCAATACCATGTATAGTCACAGTTTTATACAGGTATAAGCTCCTATAAGTGACATTGATTTAGTATTGACAATATGAAATTTAGTCTCAATTTCTATATCTTTTAACTTTCATCTGGACAACTTTACCTTCATTTATTAATCTTTCTCTGATTAAGAAGATTTGGTGCCAAAAACCAATTCTGTCTCGAACACGTTTATCTGGTTTCCGAAATCCACAGCTTTTCACCCAAATTTTTAAAGCAGTGATAAATTATACTACTTTTTCATCAGGACCCTGTTTCTCAATAAATCGTATGACCTACTACTTAAGACTAATGTTAAGATTGTCTTAAGTTTGCGATTACGTACAATAGAAATGAGTGAGCGATTTTTTCGTCATCTGATAGCCATGAAAACAATTTCCTTTTTCTCCGACCCCTAGCATATGATAGGGCCAATTCTCTGCTTATTTTTTTTTTTATCTTTTTATAGTCCATAGTCTATAGGCAAATTCAGCATGGCTTTTAAATGGTTTCCATGCCACAAGCAGATCTGAAGAGTTCCTGTCCATAGATGGACAACATTCTGTTAATGAATCCATATTTCTTCACTATAATTTATCATTTTAAATTGTTATTGTTCATTAAAAGCTTTTTCCGTATCATTTTTGCCGGATGGTTTAATTGAATAGCCATTTTCATTGGATTTCTTCTGACACTGTGTAAGATTTTGGTACGGACACAACCATCATTGTTAACATTCATTAAAAACTAACTTTTACAACAGAAGATTCAATACAGGGAAACAACTCAATATAATTCAGACCACAAAGTAATAATCATTTTTAGTCCTGTAACCAAGTAACTGTCATAGCCTCTTCTGCTCTTCTAATGAACCTCTAAGTCACTTATCTACTTCGAATAGGCCACAGACCTATTAATCTACCGTACTGCACTTCTTATGGAACTAAATGCAACTGACTTACTAACCTCCATACATAACAAGCTTAAATGAAACAATGGACCACTGACCTATTAACCACTGCTCTTCTTTCTTTAAGACCTATTAATCTACTGCCCTTCTAAAGCCCCTGACCTATTAACCTTCTAATGAAACTGTTGCCAACTGACCTATTATTGAAATTGTCACCAAATGCCTTACTGAAAATCTAACAAATTTCCCAACTGACCTACTTTCATTTTAATGACGAATTTTAATATAACATTTTTTATTTTCCTTTAGTTTTGCACATGTATTTTCCGGAATCTTGTTTGTATTTGATCATTCATTTTGTGGCCCTTGATCTGGCTTAAATAATATGCTTTTTCATGGACTTATCAACCGACCCTTTTCGTTTTCCTGCTAATAGCAGATGCAACAGATTGTGGAGTGCAAGCAGAAAGGATAAAATTCTGCAAGGCATAGGAATAGAAAATGCCGGAAGTGTTGGATTGTATCTTTTCTCACATGTACTATACTTGATAGGTAATAGTGATTTAAAAACAACATTCTTCTATTTAAGTTTATTCATAATAAATCTTTTATAACAGTAAAAAACAAAAACTTTACTTGAAGTCAGAGGGGAGGAGAGGAGATTTACTCAGACTCGAGACCAGCTTGAAGGATGTTGACTCATCTCCCGACAGTTTAAAATTGCCAAATATAATATAAAATGTTAAAGGGATTGTAAAAAGGTTTTCTAAAATAGTTTATGTGTATTGGGGGCAACTGTGTTTGATGACATCACTAATCGCAAGAGACTTGGGCAGTATCAGTATCCCAGATACACACAATGCTATTTTGATTGTATATCGAGGACACTGATAGAATCAATTTTCACCATTCCAAATCTCAATTAAACGTCTGTAGATCCTGCAATTCCACTAAAACTAAGTGTTTGATGACATCACTAATAGCAAGGGACTTGGGCTTATTTTGCAATTAGTGACGTCATCCAACACAAATTTCTGTGTAATTGCAGGAACCACTAAGTGCTTGATGATGTCACTAATCGCAAGAGAATTGGGCATATTTTGCGATGAGTGACGTCATCCAACACAAATTTTTGTGTAATTGCAGGAACCACTAATTACTTGATGATGTCACTAATCGCAAGAGACTTTGGCATATTTTGCGATTAGTGACGTCACCCAACACAAATTTCTGTGTAATTGCAGGAACCACAGCCGCCTGATTGAAATTGGAATGGTGCAAATTGAACTTATCAGTATCCCAGATACACACAATGCTATTTTTATTGTATATCGAGGACACTGATAGCATCAATTTTCACCATTCCAAATCTCAATTAAACGTCTGTAGATCCTGCAATTCCACTAAAACTAGGTGTTTGATGACATCACTAATCGCAAAGGACTTGGGCATATTTTGCAATTAGTGAGGTCACCCAACACAAAATTCTGTGTAATTGCAGGAACCACAGAAGTTGGACTGAAATTAGAATGTTGCAAATTGAATCTATCAGTATCCCAGATACACACAATGCTATTCCACTGAAACTAAGTGTTTTTTTGACATCACTAATCGCAAGGGACTTGGGCATATTTTGTGATTAGTGACGTGCTCCAACACTAATCTCAGTTGAATTGCGGAAACCACAGACGTCTAATTGAAATTGGAATGTTGCAACTTGAACCTATCAGTGATCCCGATACACATAAAAAAAGAAAACCTCTTTACAATCCCTTTAAAGACCTGGCGAATAAGATATTGGCCTCAACTACAAAATACAATCTAACTGTTAATTATCACAGATCTCATTATCACCACAACCGTATTAAACTGTTGGACTAGCCTATTGAGAAATAAATGTAACAATCAGGAATAATTAATCCCCCTTCCGCTCAAAAAAAAAAATAAAAAAGAACAAATAATTCAGTTATGATGAAATCTAAAACGTGGCTCTTCTGGTGGTGGTGGATCCATATCATCCAGGTTTAGATTTTTTCGCTGACGAACTAGATTGGCATGTCTTCTTTTCTCCTTTAATTTGTCTCTGATTTCACGGAGATGATTCTGGCGAGCAGCCACGGCGACATCCATTTTTTGAGTCTGCTGGTCTTCCAAGGCCTTTTGCTTTTGTTCATAGGCCTTGATAGCACCAGCAGTTTCTGTTTTTTTCATAGCTCGAACTCGAATTATTCGTTCCTCTTCCAATTGCTACAAGAATAGGAGAAGAATAAATTAATAGATTTAATGGCTACTGATGTTGATGATCATTCTTACATATAATACATTTGATGGACTGATGTCTGATGATGATAAGTTTAAATAAAAAAAAAACTTACTTTGCGGCGCCGTTCTGCTTCAAAGAGTTTTTGCTTTATCTCCTCCACAGTTGGTTCTGCTCGCTTTTCTCTACTTTTTATTATTTCCTCTAATCTTGCTGGAGGTACTACATCCTCCCTTGATTTTTCCACAATCTCAAAGGCCAGTCCTTTAGATGAAAGACCTTTGAGATTGGTTACCAGACCTTCTTGTACCAGTATGGTCTTCACATTTTCTTCACTCAATAATTTCTTCACTCCTACAATAAGGTTGTATTTAATATAAAATGTTACATTGTTGCAGTGTTAAAGTAAATTTATTCAATCGGTTTTATTTTCACAATGATTTATAAAATAAGTTATTAAAGATAGTTCTGTTACCAGATATATCAGTTCAATTTATAAACACAGATTCTTACCAAGAGATTCTGGCGCTTCTCCTTTCTGAGGTGGACATTCTTTCTTTCCTTCCGAAAAACTGTCTTCTTTTTCTTCCAAATTCGTATCTACTGTTGGTGGTGATGATTTTGTTGGTGTATCAGAAGTTTCACCAGTAGTCGAGTTCTTCGCAGAATTTGTGTTGGATACACAGAAGACTCCATAATCAGTTTTCTGTGTATGACCATCAGCGTTTCCGACTGGAAGAACTTGAATATTTCGGACATTTTTCCGTTCGGTAGGTTTCCGACAACTCGAAAACAAACCTCCCATATTCCAAAAAAATGGACTTAAAACAAGAAAACACAATTTACAGCACTGTTTTAAGGCCGGTCACTATGTGTCCTATTGTTAGTAACTACGCTACGCTTAGCTTCGGAACTTTCCGGAGGTTCGGCTTGTATTATGACGTTATGATTATTATAGAGTTCCGGGCAATCACGGAATTAACTATTCAAATAACGTTCACTTAATAAAAGTCTTTGAGGGATAAATAAGTAGCCTAACAGGATAGATTTAAAATAATCAGATTCAGACATCATTGTAGGAAATATAATGCTGTTTAAGGTTTAAACATTAAATAAGATGTCGTCCTTTATCTATTAGCAAAAAGAGCTAAGGTGCAATCTTGTTATTAACCATCGAATACTAAGTCATCGTGGAAAATAAGCTAAAGTTAATTTAGCAATATGGGCTACATATAGTGCCTTAGTCCTTGTCTTTATGTCTCTTCACTTCTTATTTTTCTCCACCGAGCCTAACGAGGACGGACAATGCCAGTCATTGTGCAATGAATCTCGAAGCTAATAACCTTCTATTGAAACTATAAGCCACTGACCTATTAACCCACTGTCCCACTAACCCTCTATTGAAACTATAAAAGTATAAGCCATTGACCTTTTAATCTACTGTCCTTCTAATGAAACTATAAGCCTCTGACCTATTAACCTTTCAATAGACCACAAACCTACTGATCTACTGAACCCCTGACCTATTAACCTACTGCCCTTCTAATGAAATGATAAGCCCCTGACCTACTAACCTACTGCCCTTCTAATGAAACTATAGGTGCTTGACCTATTAACCTACTGTCCTTCTAATGAAGCTATAAACCCCTGACCTATTAACCTACTGTCTTTCTAATGAAACTATAAGCCCCTGACCTATTAACCTACTGCTCTTCTAATGAAACTAGAAGCCCCTCGACCTATTAACCTTCTTATGAAACTGTTTCCAACTGACCTACTAACTTACCATTGATATTGTTGCAAACTGCCCTACTGATATCCCTCCTTTTTAATGACAGAGATTAATATAATAACAGTTTATTTTCTTAAAATCTAAAATTTATAATTTACATATATCTACAAGATAAAAATACTACATCACAGAATAAATAGGTCATGTAAACAATAACAATAAATAACATAATTATATAAATAATATAAAACAGGACGGATTACCACTAAATTTCAGGAAAATGAAATAAGGATGGATTTATTGTGTGATAATAAATACCCCTTAATTTGTTAATGAACTTTTCCAAACATACATGCTAGATATTCATGTGAAGATTTCCAATTTATCAAATTAATGGTGAAATGGTTTCCAAGCTTTAAAATGCTTATGGTATGCACTATAAAAGTCATGGAGGGTAAAATTTGAAAAGGCACTAAATTTAAACTGTTCAAAGTTCATTTTTGAGCCAATATTTAAATTAAAATTTTACAAATAAAAAGAAGACTGATTCATTCCAATAAAAACAAGCATAGCACTAATAAAATCAATAAAATTATCGCATGGCTCAAATGTTCGAAACATGATTTCATTCAAAAATATTTTTAGTGAGGTTTGATAAAAAATTAGAAGCCGAGTGTTTAAAATTCATTGGAGTAAAATGGAATATTAAATTTCACTAATAAAATTGTCTTCCACAAAAATGTAATATAAATATATTAATGGGTAAAATGATATTAATATCTAGTTTTTCAAATACAATGTATCATGAACCAAAATATTGTTGAAAATTTCTACCCATTTCCATTTTGCACTAGTATACATCCTTAGACAATTTATCAATAAAAATTATGATTTGCATTAAAACAGCCTCGTTAATCAATGAATTTGTAGAGAAAAATTTCTAATAGCAAATCATTGATAAGCTATAAAAATCTTGAATTAACTGAAAAAAAATAATTTATTATCTCTGAAATTCTAAATTTACAGTAGAAAATCATTCCTAATACATGACATTCTAGAATTATTGGAAGAAAATTATTGTTTATCTATGAAATTCAGTAGAACATCGTTGTACATGTAAATTATTTAGTTAAAGAGGCAACATAAATCCATACAGATAATACAGAGTTATTATAAGCATGTATATATACAGCTAGAGCAAACTCTTCAGCTGATTCTTGTGTATGTACTCCTGTAGAAAATACAGCTTCTACTAACTTCTCTAGATCTACAAACGGCATGTTCATTGGGAATCCAGACACCTGAAAAACATTCAATAATTCATTTATTACTCCCAGTACTTCATGGACAAGAGCTAATATTATTTAATAACTAGATCCAAAATAATGCATAATTTTTGTTCTATGAATTTTTTGAGCCATACAATATTTTTTATGTAGTTTTTGAGCAGGATATTTTCGTTATTCATTCCAAATTTTATCAATTTCTTTTTACAGTAAAATCTTAAACATGAAATCATGACAGAGCTTTCTACCTAGACTTATAAATGATCTCATTGAACAGTAACATGTACACACCTTATAAGCTGAGAACTGTTTTTCTAATTCTTCTAAATGATGTTGGCTAATCTCCTGTCCTCTACTTTCTTCTAAACTGTAATATATAAACAAGGTTTCATTTAACTGAATTTAAAGGGGACAGTCTAGACACCAAAACTAGTTTAAACTGCTTACTTAACTTGCACTTAGTACAATCCATTCTTTTATTAGTTAATAGAAGTTATAAGTGATAAGTTAATAGAAATACATAGAAGTTCATTTTTAAATCGTTTAATTTTCAATAATGAAAATTTTGCATGCTGCCTCCATAAAGGCTATGTTATTGGGAACCAAAAGGCTGAAGACTGGTGTCATTGTGTAATATTCTGATGTGTAAATAACCTGGTGTCAGAAAGTATACCATATAATTGTAAATATAGCGCGTACCCCTTTACTATTGAGTTTTTTTGTAAATAATGAGATTAGTAGATTAATGTTCTATTTCAGTTGGTTTTTCAATGTTGGTATATAGATATACTTACATAGGTAGTAATTTTCTCATAATTTTGGTACAATGTCGGTTCCATCGTGTTAATGTACGACTTCTCCAATCCATTATCTTATTCTTTAAATGTTGTTCTATTCTCTCTTGTAGATCTTCAGCATGTTTTTTATCAGTGGCTACATATTGTAACATTTCAGGCTGAAACCAATATATTGTACTGAAGTTTAATCCAAGATAAATCTTATGCTTCAATTCAAGGCAATTCTATCACCTGAATTTGAATTTTGGTTTTTGCTGCATGTATCTACTTAAAAGGATAGGTTCGACATTTTAGTAAATACCTAAAATTTTTCTATATATGTCTTTTCTATATATAGCAGTCGTCATTTTAACTTTTAAATGTGGATAATTTTGGATACACATGGATTTGAAGGCTCAAATTTTGACGGTGAGCTGTGAACACCATTACTGATTGTCTTAACTAAAACATTCCTGTTTCTGAGACTAAGGTACAACTGGTGAAAAAAGTGGCGAACCTATCCTTTTAAAACAAAATCCTACTGTTATAAAGTTTTAAAGACTGCAGCTTAGAGAGATTTTTGAGATATTTATAAGAGAAATTACCTGAATAGAACCTAACATTGGGCTAGGATAAGATCGGCTAAATATTGGTCTCCAGGCTGATGTATTAGCTATGTTGAAATCCATTTGAACTGGTTTCTCATATGACTGAATATTTCCCCACACCTACAGAAATAATACAAGATTCAACATAAAACATAAAAAAAAACAGAACACCTGATGCCACTGTTAGATCAGCTAGTGAACTCAAACAGTAAATAGTAAACATATATAAAATTCATGAAATTCCATAAAAGAACGATAATTTCATAGACAAGAAAACATATTTTTGTATTTCTTAGAAAATTTCACAAATCAACATGAAAAATTCACTTTATTTGGGACCAAGACAGTAAGGCTGAGGTTTGGATTTTGAAATCCTGCAACTCTACTTCCAGGAATGAGAACTCATCATTACTTACATTATCTTGATTCATTATACAACCAACTACTTGTACTGGACAATTACTATCATGATAACTAAAATGTTCTCCAGTAGAGGCATTCCAGAACCAAAAATCACTACCTTCTTCTGTTAATACATAGGCTGTAGGTCCTTCTGGTATAGCTGAACCTAAACATTTAAATTTCAAATTGATGTCTAGGTTTCACAATCTCTTTCTATATATGTCTTTTCTTGATATGGCATTGTATCAAGAAAAGACGAGTCGTCACTCGTAACTTTCAAGCACTGATAATTCTGTACACACATGTATTTGAATGCTCAAATTTCGACAGTGAGCTGTGAGCATTATTACACGTTAGCTCAGATTGAAAAAAAATAAAAAGTCTTTGAGACTAAGGTACCATTGGTAAAACAAATAGTAAATGTGTCCCTTTGATTTGTAAGTATAATCTGCTTATAGATAGAAAATGATGAAAAATGATCCAAGCAACTATACCTATCAATAAATAAGCTCGTTTGCCCAAGTGTAAGAAATAATTCATCAATAAGACCGCATGTTCTTCTTCATCACCAGCTAACATACGTAAAAATTGCTGAAATAACAGAACTCTGCCAGTTTAATAATGTAATTAAGGCTTAGTAGTATTAGTATGTAAAATAGAATTAGTTGTAGAAACCTCCAACCTGATTCTCAAGAATATTACGAAATAGTACACTTAGGACAAATTTTATCACATTTAAACCATAAAGCTCATTTTTACCTAGTATGAAATAAATACTTACATCACATGTGCTCCAGATATCACATAAACCAGGAAATACAACAGTATCAGATACAAATGGTATCATAGATACATAATGGGCTACTCTTTCCTAAAAATACAACAAAAATATCACATAAACCAGGAAATACAACAGTATCAAATACAAATGGTATCATAGATACATAATGGGCTACTCTTTCCTGAAAATACAACAAAAATATCACATAAACCAAGAAATACAACAGTATCAGATACAAATGGTATCATAGATACAGAATGGGCTACTCTTTCCTGAAAATACAATTAAAATATCACCTAAACCAGGAAATACAACAGTACAAACTACTCTTTCCTGAAAATACAAACAACATCATATGAACAATGAAATACAACAATTTGAAATCATTGCATTGATTATTTAGCTTATATTTTGCCTTGAAATATTTCATCAGGATCATCACCCAAAGAGCCATATGATCTCATTCATTATATAGTTATCATACTTACAGCAGTGCCCTCAGTTGTTAAATTTAAATCTTTAATATCATCTGGTATGTTTAATGGTTTAAAATATCTGGTTACAAATACACTTTTACCATTGACATCAATAACTGAGGGTTTATATAACCGTTTGGGATGTTTGTTTGTTAATTCTTGTTGCCATTTTTCAGCATGTAATAACAGTTTTTCATCTTCATTGGTCGAAAACTAAAACCAAATTAGAAAGCCAATAATGTATTCAGTAACATTCTTGTATCTTAAATGGGGAGTATGTATGGTTTCAAACTAGAATTGTTCATCCTTTTGTACTCAGATTTATCAATTTTGTTAATATTATGAAGTAAGGTTTTTCCATCAATGTCAATAGAGATAGAGAAAGAGAAAGCCTCTTCCACAATCTCTTTCATTTTTCACAAGAATAAAATATAGTTTACAAAAAAATGCAATGTGAACAAACCAAGGGACAGACAATATTCGTCCACACAGAGAGATGTGGGCGCATAAAGAATAGGGGAGTAGAAAAGTCATTTGCACAGTTCATTTCAATCAGATTGTGAGCCCAAATAATGCCCAGCCTCATCAGTAAGATCTTACCCTTTCTCTAACTGGTTCTGGTGTTATTAACTGAGGTTCAATGGTTAAGAACATACTGATGTAGGTGTTATGTTCTGTTTTCGTTAAAACACTTTCTAAATCACTACGTTTCATAGCATCTTCATAAACATAACCTAATAACACTGGTGGCGTATTAACACGGAATGTACCATCAATCTATAATGATAAAGTGGTCCATACTTTCTGATAATGCAGGACTATTCCAGATTATTTGTTGATGAAAATGAAATGAGCTCCTGGTTGGGCTGATACTCGTAAAGAAAACAATGATTTTTATGAGGAGGAACCAAGTCAATCAACGCCATGCAGTGTCAAGGAGGTAAATTTTGTCAAGACAGATGCATTAGTTTACTCTGTTAGAGTTTCTGACTGTTGAGTTAAATTTGTTAAATTTAAGCTTTTAAACACTAGCAGTCACATAATGTTATTTTATACTGGTGTATTTTCACTGGTGGGAGTTCAGTTCAGTTTATGTTATTCACAATCAGTGATCAATAGTTAATGTATTCTATCTATAAATTAGCTGACAAAGCCTTTATAACCTACCTTGGTGTTTAAGTAAATTGTAGAGAATGGTATTTCTAGACTGCCTAACCATTTCTTCTCTAATTTCTGATGTACCACTGTGCCTTTTTCTCTATCATCCTAAAAATAATATAATCATTTCAAATACTATGACAAACAGATCACTTGTCTTAAAGTTGCAAGTAAAACCTAGTTTATGATTGCCGTGTTTAGTAATATATATCATTTTGAGATATTTTAAACCAGGAATTGATGAATAAGCTAAAAAGCATATATGTAAAGAGCGCAATGTCAGCTGTTTGCTGCCCAACCTGTATAGAATTATGAGAAATTATTATCTTACATGACTCATATCCACTACCATTTCATCAAAGAGATTAATATACACAATATCATTCATAGATTGTAAATTATTAGATGAATAATCATCATTCGTTACTCTAAAAAATAAAAAACCAACAATTGAAATCATCTACATCAGAGAAGAGTAAATGAAACCAAGCATTATCCTTTTGTCTTTGAAAAATTATATTTAATTGACAATCTCTATATATAACGAGGGCCAAATATAGAGCATGTTGATTTAAACATGTTTATATTGGGGCACTTGATTGGTTTGCCAGTTTGGGATTGTCAACCAACCAGAAATTCAATGAAACTATTTGGAACAGGGTTCAGAATTTGTTCCACATGTGCCGTAAAAAATTAGGCCAAGATAGAAATAGTTGGGTGAATTTTGAATTGATGTAACCCAGTTTAATTGGACCGAACTTATCACTCCGAGCAATAATAAGAAATCATCTATACTTCAGTGGTTAAAATATCTTACTTGAGAGGAAGTTCTAGTTCTTCATTAAAACTGGGATTTGGCCCATCACCAACACTTGTACGAACTGTATTCCGTTGAAACATGACTTCTATATAGGGTCGTACCAATGGCTGAAATAATAAAATTTGTCTATGTATAAATCTAATAATTGTATAGAGCAGGTGTTTAGAGGGAAAAAAAAATGAAATGAATTGAGCTTTACATCCTACAACACCATGCAGTCAACAATGAGAAAAATCATACCAGGACAGCACCATAAGTCTCTCTTTCCATTTCTTACTGTCAAGGGATCTTTTATGTGCACAGCCTGTACCACACAATACTTAATAAATCTAAATTTACCAAAGAATGTCAAGTAATTATGACTTACCACACCACTAAAATTATTCACGTTTAATTCTTGATCTCTCATTGGAATATTTCTATCAACAAAAACAAATATAATACAATAAACAATCATGCCAAAAAATAGTCACCAGCAGAAATGAGTCTATATTTTAATTTGGAGGGATGATATTTTTAAATTCATAAAACTAAAATGAAATATAAAAGATGAGGTCTCTTTGATATAATTTGTCACATAATCTGTAGATTTTCTGTTGGCATTAAGTTATACTTATATCTTTTACAAAGTACCATTTGAATATTATGCATATTAATCTGACAAATAAGAAGATAAGTCACTGGTTTTTAAGTATGAGTAGGAGGTGAGAGTGAAATATAGGACTTATGTGGTTTTTGTGTATTTAACAGGCCTATGCAACTTGCATAACTTTTCTTGAAAAAGACATCCATATCACTATAGTGTTTAGCAATGTAGGTGAAAATTCCTCAAAAGAGTTGAGTTGTGTTCTTCCAGAGACAGAAATTTGTGACAGGAAAAGAAAGATAGAAGGGTACTAGCTAACTAGCGAGTGAAATGTGGCAGAGGACAAACTCTGAGAGAGTTTTGTGAAAGTCGAAGATCTAAAGTGAAACAATTAGCCTTAGAGTTAGCTATAATTTCCACACATAAAAATAGGATTGTCATAGCACTTCAAGATTTCACATGAAATTTCAAGTCTCAAAACAGCAGATGCCTAAAAATTTATGTATTGTCAAAATAAGGAACTGAAGAAGACATCAAATTTTTAATTTCATTTGCTTTTAAAATTTCCAATGTTGCAAGCAATCAATGGAAATTAAGACTAAGATACTCTGTGACTTTATGCCATAATCAATCCTATTTTTATATCAAACATGTTATATGTTTTATTAATACCATTACCCATTATCATTATTCAAAGGTCTAAAATAAGTATAATTAATAAACGTAATTGATATACATCTATATCGTTCTCCAACTTTTTAGAATACAAAGTCACAATTTGCACTTGAAATACTCTTGATTATCAAAGCTGCTTCCTACAGATTTACTCACTTTGGAAAGTGATTTTGCACGGCCTTGATGCCAGTAGAGAAGACATCTTTTTCAGCCACCCTTAAAATCTTACACAGCGGTTATAAAAAACTGGGACAATGGTGACCTGCTATTCCCTTTTCATTCTGCAAAACAGGTTTAAGTCTGACTGGGCCAAATCGATTGAATAAATGGTGGGTTTTAAGTTCAAGGCCACACTCATGGATCTCGGATCACAGATGTGACCAGGAGAAGTGAAATACTTTGCCATAGAGTAAGCTACAATTTCCACACATAAAAATAGGATTGTAATACTACTAATAGATTTCACATTTAAAAGTTAAGTATCGAAACAATATATCATCTGTATTTTTCTGTCTTTTTCTTTGAAAAAAACCCCAAAATCCTAGCTCGAAATATGGAACAAAAGTTATCATTTTAGCATCTTACAAGCTTTTTGTACTAGGCATTTCTTTCAAAATGTTCATCATAGTGAACAATTAATAGAAATAAAGACTTAGATAATATGTGATTGTATGACATCCTATTTTCATATCAAACATGTTTTATTAATACCATTACCCATTATCGTTATTCAAAGGTCTAAAATAAGTATAATTAATAAACGTAATTGATATACATCTATATCGTTCTCCAACTTTTTAGAATACAAAGTCACTAAAAAAAGAGGAAATCATATAATCTGCTTTCAAACTACATGATTATCCCCTTAGTGAATGTCTTTGATCAAGATGTAAATGGATGCATATACATATAAACCCACAGTTGATTATCAACGAAATGAAACAGAACTAAGATTATATGAAACCTAGGTTGTTTAAGAATGTATAACATAGACATTTTTATATGAATTTTCCAATAAAAATTGTTTTACATAATATGCATTTTAGTTAAACTTGAAAAAATAACAGCAAATTTTCATAGATTTTACCCATTGTCCACTCTTTGCCAGTCTATTGAAGCTTCAATAGCTGACAGTATTCTGGGTCTCAAAGGATATTTTTCTTCAAAATCAGCCAATTTATGTTCACAAATTGGTCAAGAATATTTCACAGATCAGTCAGTTAATGTTTTTTTCACATATTGACACATAAAATTGGTAGTAAATATCAATTTACAAACTAAAATGTCAAAATTAACAGCAGTCCTAAATTCATCTAAATAAAATAATACAAACACTGAGACTTACCCGGCAGCAGATTTTCGAATTGGTATAGATGAAGCTCTTATAATATTCAATAAAATCTTGACTTGTTCTCCTCTTACAGCTGTAGCTGTTACTTTCTTTCTCTCTTTACGTATAGGTCTTAATGGTCGACGTGGCTCACCAAAATGTAATAATCTTGTAAACACAATACTGAAAGAAAAATTCACATGATGTATCTAAAAATGGAATGTGGCTTCTGTTTCACAAAAAATGTATTTTAATAGCAAAAGTATGCTTTATCACATAAGGTGAATGCGAGTGGTGAAAATTGATGCTATCGGTGTCCCTGATACATATAAAAATTTTAGAAATCCTCTATACAATCCTTTTAATGCAAAAAATAATTATTCATTGGCATACAAATAAAGAAAATGCTTGGATTTTGATTAAGAAGCTTACCCAATATTAGGAACAACTTCTTCAATAACAACATCTTCTAAGCGTTTTTGATGTTGAGCTAATCTAAATCTTCTCATAACTTGTTCTCTAACCTAGAAATAAAATAAAGTTTTCATCCTGCGTTTCTACTCATGATTGGGCTTTTGCAATGGGAATAGTCTAACTCTCCACTTTATGAAAGTAAAAATGACTTACTCTCTGCATGAATCTGTTAACGGCAGCTCTGTGGGCTTCTATATCTTCTGTTTCTTTAATTCTTTCTTCTTCCCTCTGTTTACGTTCATATTCCTACAAATAACGGAAATTTTAATAATCAATTGGGCTTGGTATGATATAGCGAAATAGAATAACTTTAGCATTCATGTCAGACATTCTAATTAATAAAGCTATGAATATATAGACTATGTCAAGTTGGCTCATGACAAACATGGCTCATCATTTTTCAGTGAACTGTTTAAAAGAAGACCCAAGCAACAAAAGTATATTGTGTGATTGTTAAACAAGGCCTCATACGAAGAAACTTTAGGATCGAGACAATTCGGAAAAAAATGAACTGCAAGAATTTTGAGATTCAAGACAGTAGGCTTACAATATCATTCAAGTTATTTCGAGATTTAAGACACTTTTGTAAGATTTTCTCACCATAAATAAATCTCTAGGTAATTCTCTCTCATAAGCTGGTGCCATTTTGTAATTTTTAAATTCTGGTATTTCATTATCTCGTAAAGTTAGCAACCTAAATCTTCTATTAATAGCCATCTCCTCATCAGTGGCTAGATCAAATTCTTGTTGTAGTTGTTCTAGTCGGAAAAAATCTCTGGACTGCATGACGTTTGTACTTTTAGACTGTAATAGATATTTTCAGGTAAAGTAATAAGTAATAAAGAAAAAACTTCATACAGTTGAAACCTTGATATTGGACTTACAGATATAGAATAAAATCTGCTGTTTTCTTATGACTTTTGTTACATAATAAATTCAATCATTAAGTTATGCAGTGAGTTCAAGCATTTAACTTGAAACAATGAGAAGCAATATGATGAGTTTTTTCTTTTGCCTTTCAAATAATTTGGATCTTTCCACAAATCATATTGAATTTCAAACAGCTAAAGAACAACCAATCTTACCCCTAACATAAAGACTAAATCAGCATTATTGGGATCATTAGGATCTAATCTAGATTCTTGAAACCATTTAGCTAATTTATCTAAATCAACTACACCACTGGCACCAATAGCTGCTACTGGATCCATCATTTTCATAGCACTGAAAATAACAAGATATATAATGATCATATCAAGCCATACATAATTCAATTCAAATTGCTGTTTGTTTGCCATTCAATATTTCTTATGATGGGTCAAAATTCAAATGGATCAGTATACAAAATACAAATGGACTAGTATACAAAGTACAAAGGGAATAAAATACAAAATACAAAGGGAATAGAATACAAAATACAAAGGGAATAGAATACAAAATACAAAGGGAATAGAATACAAAATACAAAGGGAATAGAATACAAAATACAAAGGGAATAGAATACAAAATACAAAGGGACTAGTATACAAAATACAAAGGGAATAGAATACAAAATACAACTGGATCCCCAATGAATAAAATACTTAACAACTTTTGCTCTAGATTTTGCCATGATTTGGACAAGATTTTAATTAACAGAATTGTCTTGCTTGTATAGATTTTATTTTTTTTATCACATAATAATTTATGATTTAAAGTAGTGTAAAGATAAAACTTACTTATAGTAATTAGTAGGTGCTATAGAAGTAGTCGGTGGTACTAGTGGTGTACCGTCTGAGTCAACTGCCCATGCTACACTACTACATAGTATACCAGTTGTCATTAATATCATAGTATTAGTACCATGAACATCAAATGTGAATGGTACACCTGAAATAATTTAAACGACATAAAATGAAATGAAATAAAGATTTACATGCTTCTTTTCTGATCCTGGAAGCAGCAGAGTATACTTCAAAATATCAACAGAGTGATCTCTGGAAATAAGAAACAAAATAAGAATAACAACTTAGGTTCAGTGAGGATCCATTCAATCAGCTATTGCTTGGCCAATCCTCATGGCATTTCACAAGTTGACCAAAATGATGGCTCTTACTGTGCTACAGAACCCCAAAATCTGACCCTTACCACTTCCAACACCTTCATTAGTTTTATCTATTTTTAGATCAGTACTAAAATCCATTTCCTCTAATTGTACACTCTGTGATGTTACAGAGGGATCAGGTATACCAGCATATAGATCAGCTAATAGATCATTACCTAGAGCTCTAGCTTCAAAGATCTGAAATAAACAATATGTTCCGTAATTTCATCCTCTTGAGCATCTTGCTAAGAGGACCTTTTGGGGTTGTAGGTGAAGAGTTTCCTACAGTTCTTATACCTTAGGGTATGGAAAAATGCATGCTTTTTTTAAGACTTTCAAATCCTTAAGAAACACCAAAATTCACAATACTTTGTGAAAACAGAACAAAACAAAACAAGTTTCAAAACTTACAGTCACAATAAGAAGTATAATTATTAGTATAGTTACCTGAAACTTAATTGATTCTGGCCATTGGACAATTTTTAAATTATAAATTTGACCAAAGGTCACTCTGAAGTCTTGTGATAATGGTCTGGAATAGAATGAAATATTTAAAGAAGGAATTCTTTTCAGTAGAACAGAAGATCATCACCAGAACTTCCCGTTGAATTTTGTGTGACAACTTTTCATGGGAAATAACCACAATAATTACAGCATATTTCGACCGCCCATTAGATAATCTGTTGTATTAAGATAAGTATTGTATAAACTATACTCACTTGGAGGGGGTTCTAGAAACTTCTTTATCATTAAACAATATCTTAACAAACACCTTCGTTTTAGATACATCATCTCTTCTCTGTTGTTCACCTCTACAAATATATATAACAAAATAACCATCAGGAGAATGGAAACCACAGCAAGTCTGAACTATTCACTGCTAATGGTTGATCTTTAAGAGAACATCTTAAAGCTGCAAAGCTAATGATATCATTTTTAAATTTTGATCGAGATTATTTTGCTTAATGCTTAAATTGCATAAAATGTCCAAAATACAACTTTATCTAACACTTTGACTAAACATTTTATTTTGTCCAATCTTGAAACAATAGTTACAATTATGATATCATTACAATATAAAACCTCTAATGTACTTTTATCTATAAGTTACCTGGGACACTGATTTGTTGGAGTGATTGTAGCAGTATTTGACAACTCAGGAAATAATTTGGGTTCCCCTGAAACATTAGCAAAACATGAATATTAAAAGCCAGTCAGTTATTTAATGTAAAAATTGAATTTGTAATTTCATGAAAATGTGAAAAGCCCCCAAAATGGCTTCTTGACAATTGAAATTGAAATATACTGGAGTTAATATTTGGAGACATTAGTAGTTTAGATCTTCTCCCAATAGCCATTTTTTTTCTTGATTTATGATTATTGTATTAATACCTTCTTTCCATTTATCCCTAGGGAAAGTAGAGTAATCCTTTTTGGCTTCATGTCAATTTTTCTGACTATAATATTAAAGAAGTTGATATCTGGACTATATTTAGTGAATAATCATTACCTGGTCTACGTCTTATGGCCATAGCCTTAGCTTTAACCTTTTCTCGTGTTAATTTGACATCAAATGTTTCTGGCATTACTGGTTGTAGTAGATCTTCTTCATTTAATAATTCTCTATCAGCTGCTGACATCTCCTACAAAATATCAAAATAAAATATAGGTTGACCATACAGCTCTGTTATTCTAGGAGTATGTGGCTTTGGATGGGGGATGGTTGGGGCATGCTCCTCTTGGAAAATAACCCCTCTTTGGCCTTTTGCTTAAACATTCATTAATATATAATAGTGATACCAGGTAAACAATTTAAATAACTGCTGCTATCAAGTGACCAGAAGAACCCTTTATTTTTCCTACATAATAATAACTTTTTCTTTAATTTTTTTCTTTTTTTTTTCTTGGGCCTTTGGGAATTTCATCTGGCCAACTATCAATAGTAACCATCAGAGATCAGCTATAGGAGAATGTTTCAGCATTAGGTCAGTAAGAACAACAATATAGACTCTTGTAACACATCTTTGGGACAATCAATGTAATGTGATTCCTGTATATTACCTGATAATCATCTTGATCCATTGTACTATGTTTTGATCCTCGTTTTTTCTTTTTATTTCTTTTTCTTGCTTCTTTCTAAAAACAGTTTTATTATTAATTCTAGTAAAATCATATCAAATAGTTGCAAAGAGTTAGCAAGATGAACCCAAAGTGAAACTCCAATCTTAATGAGTTGTCTAAATATTGTATTGCAGGCCATGTAGTGTTGTTTTATGGACTTACAAATTACTTTGAAAACTACAAATATAATTAAAGATAAGATTTCAATATTGACATTTGTCCTTGGTGATAGTATCCATTTTAAAATATATATGTGTCAAAGGAAAATTCAAAGTAAAATTCAAGTCATTGTGAAACAAACCTTAGCTGCCTGTTGTTTTTCATATCTGTCTAAATCTTCCTTGTAACGTTCTAATTCTTTTCGATAATTTTCTTCAAAATCTTCTTGTAATTCTCCTACTTCTTCTTCTATTTCTTGTTTCCAATGTAATTGATCTTCTTTCTTACTTGTTTCCTCTCTGAAAGTTTTCAATGATACATTATACACTTGAAATGACTAGACGCTTGGAAATGTCACTGTAAATAATGTACACCCCATTATAAACAAGTTAGCACTACGCAGACACCATAATATCAAGCTCAAAATTTCCTCCTCTTTTACTCCTTGTATTTTTTAATATCATTTAGGAATAAATAAAATCTATATCTATAATGAATTATTTTACAAAATTAGTTTTATAGTTTCCATGACAGCAACATGGCTCTGTCTATCAGATCCATACACGTAAAATAACATGACAAATCTGCAGTTACTCACTTAATAACTTGTAATTTTATAGGAGTATTATTATAATTCTGAAATTCTCGTATACTTTTTAATTCTTTCCATGTATGTATAATATTCTTTAATAACTGTCTATCCATTTCTTCCTCTTTATCTTTGACTGTTCTAGTATGTCTACAAAAACAATGGAGTTTGAATAAGAATTTTTGACAACACAAAGTAATTATTGGCAACTTTAACACAAAGTTTGTTCTTCAATATCAATTTTACCCCCAAGTGTAGATCACAAAGATAAATCAACATATATTCAAATTGCAATTTGTAAGTGAAATCTATAATACTGTCTAGCCAAAATTGATAAAATACAAAAATTATTGCTCATTGCGATGATCCTTGCAGGCAAATGCAAATTACTGTTAAGTACGGGGAATTTTTATTCCTAATTTGACAATTATTGGTAACGTTCCGTTGAGAGATGGTTCCTGAAAAGGGTTTGAATTCTCTTAGACTTACTTGATATCATATTTATAATCTTGTAATCTTTTCTCATAGTTAGCTCGGTCACTTACAGCCATTTCTCCCTAGTAAAATAGATATTAATATTTCTTTATGTAGAATTTATCTACTATTTATTTAACAAAAACAATTCTAATAGACACATTCGAATACACTAAACCACTTTGTAAATCCTACATCAGAGGTGAAAGTCATGCGTTTTATTTCCATCAATTAAGTAGCTTTTTCTTTGTCTCAAAAAAAAAATCCTGTAAATTTCAAGACACTTATAATTGCTCTGACACAGTTACTCATTTCTTTAAGAGATGCGTTATTTTCTGTATGCTTACCTTATGATTCTGGATGTACTCATGTAAATGTAATGCTGAACTTTTTAATGCTTTCATCTGAAATAGGAAAATTTCAAATATTCATTCATTTCTAGTAACAAAAAATATTCGTGACATTTGACTGCATGTACAGAGCATGAAACAAGCTCAAAGCCTACAGCAAAATTAGCACTTTTTGTCAGAGATTCCATTAAGCTTACTTTACCATTCCAGTTCAGTAGCACATTATCTACAGTAACAGAGATTTTTACAGATATATTAGTGGGTATTCCCAATTATACGGTATCAAAAAATACAAGCTAAATTAAGATGTATCTCCTTCTTAATGAAAGTGCTAGAAATTTGCTTTTATCAGATTTGAAATAATTAGCTTTCTCTCTTCAAGCAGAATTAGTTACCCATGTTGTTGTTGAAGCCAAAAAATGTCCAAAAAAGTCACAATATGTACCTTCTCTATCAGAAATTCAGTCATATTTTTCTTTTTCCTAGCCAGATAGTCTTGATAGAGATCTGTTAATCTAGTTGCTAGAACATGTTCTCTACTAAATAAATGATGATGTGAGAAAACAATGGAGTTGATATCAGCATCCAACTGATAACGTCCTGTACCATCTATGGCACCATCAATATAACGATAGTCAAATTCTCTCATAACAGCCTGAAAATAATTTCACAAAATATGTTCCTTTGAAACAGCAAGAAATTCCACAAGATTTCAAAATAAATGTGGTACATATATACATTAAGGCATTGCATAAAAAATTGGCCATTACATATAGATTTTAAGTCATTAACAGTAGCTTTTCTGCCAAATTTACACCAAAATATCAATTTCCACATTCCAAATCCAATCCAAGCTCAATGTTTTAAAAAAAAAATATTAAATCCAACAATATAATAGACTCAGTTACTATTTGAATATGGAAGTTGGCTGGCATTATCTGATGTACAAAATTTAGAGCCGTCACACAAAGTTCACACAACAACAAAAGATGACCTTTCCTCATTCTTTTCAAAGCATAATGCCTCGATATTTCAATGAACCAGAAACTTACCTTTCTAAAGACAGTTTCTAAATAAGGTTCTTGTTCATCTGTCATAAAAGGTCGTGAAGGGTTTTTCTTTAAAGGATCAGGTAAGGCTTTTAATCTTCCATCTTCTCCAAACCATTTCCGTCCCTATTAATACGTAATATATCAAGACATGTAGAAAATATCACAGTTTAATTGTAACAATTTTGTATATTTTGAAGCTGACATATATCTTCTCTTTAATAATAATATTCTCATACCTTATCAGGTTCATGTAATAATCTATTCTCCATTTTGTTTAAATTTCTATTAGCAACTGATGGTCGTACACCAACATACAATCCTTCTTCCTCTAAAAATCTTGGCATCTTCTCTGTTGCTAGCTTCTCATTTAGAGGCACTGAAAGAAATATGCCTTATCTACAAAACTTTTGATAAAATATAACTGTCAAAGATGGATACAATTTAACAGGCAACAAAAAATACCCCTCATTTAACAAATGAGCTCTTCCAATCAAACATATAAATATCATATTGATAGAAAATATGCATGTGTGGAAGAGTTCACTTAAAGATAAGGGATGTCAAATAGAGGATTTGAACACCATTTCCAGTTTTGAATGTTTGACAAGTATCTCAGAATTCTTGGCCAATGAAAGGATCCAAGATGTTATTTTGAATTCAAAAGGTACATCCTAAAGTAGCCATTCATAAAGAGAAAATGTAAAAAATTTACTTACTGGACATAACAGAGGGTATAAATAGTAACCTGTCATCTACTTCCTGTTTCTTAGATCTAGGTATATAATCTGATTTACGAACAGCTATCGGTCCAATACCTTCATCATCATGAGGAAACTCATCTAATAATGGTCTTTCTTCTAAAAAATAACAGACAAACTAATCTATACATACATAGTTATGGTGAAAAAGGTGAAATATTTGAAAATGAGTCAAAACTGAAAATTTGGCCACAAATAACAACGGATCTCATTGAAAACTTTTTCTTTGTTGATGGTAGATATTAATTAACTCTAATTATAGTTTCTATACTATTTTTTCTCCAACAGAGAAACTTGTCAAAATATTTCCAAATGACCTACCCTCTGGTTTACTCTCATCTATTTCTTTCTCTTCTTCCTGCTGTAGATAAAAATTTACATAAAATAGTACATTTGATCACATCAAAGTTCAATCTGGTAGACAGAAATATAATTTGGTTCAGTTTTTTGCATAATCCTTAACCCTTTGAACACTAAGTGTAAATAAAATAAAACATCTTGTAAACTATTTCATGTGTATTCCCTAATAGTGTGTGATATTAACATTACATAGATATCACATTATATTGTAGCCAGTAGAGCACTTGGTAGTGTTTAGAGGTTTAAAGCTCAAATCTTGAAAGCAACTAAACATACATCTTCTTCTTTTTTACTAACAGTTTCTTCATCTTCATCTCCACCTTCTTCTTCCTCATCATCTTCTTCACCTTCCCTCTTCTTCTTCTTCTTCTTTCTCTTATTAGCTTTAATTTTTTTAACAATTGCAAGATCTTCTAATTCTTCTCTCTCTGGTTCCCATTCTCTCGTGAAGAAATCATAAGATTCTTCTGCAGTTGGTAAACGATCGCCCTAAAATAACATGAAACTGTGAAGCAAATAAAGATAACGAGTCCTAGTTTGAAAAAAGTTTATCTACTCACATTTATACATTATTACAATTATGATAAATACAACATAAAATTGTTTGAAAAAGGGACATAGTCATTGTTTTATAATCAATTCATGGTTAAGATTATTAAAGAAAAATAAATTTGCTACAAACTGAGTGAGTTATTATCGAGTAAAAAGTGAAAAATTGATTACTTATTTCTGTTTAAATTTCTTTTCCTTAAAATATTGTGCCATAAAGCTACAGTATTAAATTGAAAAGAGAAGTTAAAAACTGGTTGTTCAAACTAAAATCAAAAGCTTAAAAGGTTCAGTGTAGATGAACAAAAGGACCATGAAAAGCAAAGACAACCTTATTCCTTCTTAAAAACACTCAAAATACAAAATAAATGGCATTTGAAAATCACATTAAATCTTTTACATTTCAAATTTTAATCTAAACAAAAAGCACATTGCAGAATTATATTTTTATAATAATTTGAGAGAATATTACAGATCTAGGGATATCAATAAGGTTTTGGTTATTTCAAATAAAATAAAATTGCTAGCACTACTGTCTGTGTCAAATCAAAATCCACTGATTGATTTTAATTCAAGATTTCTACAAGACCATTAACAGGAGTGGAAAATCTTACAAAATTTATAGGATTTTATTCTAACATGTTCCGTATCTATGTCTATAAGCTACTTCTTATTGTCACATCTACTGTGTAATATTTCATACAATTTATTGTCTGCTGAAGTGAAAAGCCAACGATAAAAATGTGACACTTGCAAATATGATTCAATACTCGATTGCTCATTCCTTTTTGAAAAAAAAAGCTGCAAAAATCATAAGTCAAGGCATTCTTGAGACCTATATCTCTGACGGTAAGAAAGCCTGGTTGAAAAATCTGAATTTATCATCTCGACATATGCCAGGATATAACCAGGACCAGGTAAGCAGGCAAGTGTCAAACTAACTGTGCCACAGTTTTATATCTGGCAATATTATAAGCTACGACGTTTTTAAACTACAAATTTTTCTTTAATTCTAATATCTCTGTAAAATTTCTACTTTGTTAAGCTTATTTAAAACTAAACACATATAAACAAACAAAAACAAAATTTACAGAGTGACTAATACAATGGCAGAATGCTATCAGGTGTCTTATTAAAAGGGTTTTACCCTCAATAAAAATACAGGATGTTGGAGCTAAGAAATATGAAATAGAAATCGAAAGAATAAGCATGCACATCTGTTATTTGCAAAGAACATCATTAGTAACAAGAATTTCAAAAAATATCAATTCAGTCAATACAAGAAATTGTTGTTTTGTTGAACCATACCTTCATGCCTTTGAAATTTTTCATTAGTCACCAAAATGATGAGAAACTGGAGATAAAGCTCAAAATCAACAGCCTTGGCAATAATATTTCACAATTCATTTCTAAGTAATTATGTATGAAAGTTTGATTCAATTTCGAATTTCAGCATAATCTGCCAGGTTTAACAACAAAAAATATTGTTTTAAAAATCGAATTTATTCTCAATGGATTTTCCATATTATGATTAATTTAATTTCCTTTAGAATGGTTCAACAAAATTACAATTTCCTTGCAAAACAATCTGAAATCTAACTGCGAAATGGGAATAAAAGCAAATTTTTATTCAATCTATAAATATTGGAAAAAATAAAGTCACAAGTTCAACCATTTACCCTTATTTCAAATGCCTGTGAAACATAAAAAAAATACACAGAATTTAGAAGAAAAAAAACATTATAGACACTACTATTCTTGCAGATTTGTGACATTGCAAAATCATGCAACTATTGGTTATGACATTACAAGAACATCTTCGAACAGCATACAATTTGTGTTGTGTAATGAATGCAAATACATAAGCACTTTTCTTTTTTTTTTTATCTAAAATTTGCCTTTCTACATGAAAAGAAAATAATCTATTTCATGCAACACACTACTCAAACAAAGAGGTAGAGATAAAAATTTAAAGTATCCCCTCATTTGTTGAAAGTAAAGGAAGCCATATGACCTATATAGAATTCATGCTATATATTCCCTCAAACACAAGTTAAAATAGTTACTGTATCCAATGTGCTCAAAATATTAGATTATTCATTATTTGTGTGACAAAAATTTGACATTATTAATATGTGTACTGAAAATATAAACATAAACCAAAATGTGACATTATGGTTTAAGAGTATTTAGAATATCAACATGCCACAACCATGCCAATTACATCTAGAAATAATTTTTTTACGAATATCTTAGCTTACCCTTTGTCCTAATCTCTCCATCCTTTCTTTCCTTGATCTAAGAAGTTTAGATTTTTCTTCCAACATTCTTTCCATCTCTTCTTCATCATACTGAAAAAGTCAACCATTTTAAATTATTCAATACAGATAATACCTTAAATTTGACCTTCGCTCCCATCCTTTGTAACAGTTTGTTATTTTTGTGATCAACTCACACGCAATGATGGCTAAATCAGACAGAACAATGCCTGTCATATGACTGAAATGTTTTATGAAGATATGAAATATTAGTTTTCAGTTTCTATGTATATTTTTCCACATAAAAACAAATGTACCGGTAATTGCCATAAATTATATGCTCAGTGTACTTGTGCTACTCTAGACGCAAAACTTGAATCAAACAAGCCTCAAGAATCTAACTCACATCTTTATCAAATCTTGTTTTCTTTTCTCGTTCATCTTTTAATCTTCGTCTTTCTTCTCTCGCTTCCTCTCTTATATCAATTTCAGCTTTTTCCTTTTAAACATAATCATTTATCTCTTGAGTTTTTTAACATTATTTAACAAACCTTTAGGTCACAGCTTAATTTCATCAAAGTGAAACCAATTGACGGAAAAATTTCATTTCTTATTTTCCTACAAATGGTTGGCACTTCAAATTGACAAAAATGATATATCAAATTTTGTGCTTTAAACCAACAATTAAAACTAAATCCAAGGGCAGTCTGAGACTTGTGTACAAAATCACACAAAACTCAGAACAAAACTGATAGCCATCAGCAGGCAAATGAATCCAATATTCTAAATTTCAATAATTTACTTAGTACAATCAGTTCTTTACCTTGGCTTTAGCTATCCTACTACGTAATCTTTCTCTAACAGATGAACCTTTAGATGCAGCTCTTGTCATAGTAGAAGCTGGTGTTTCATCAGCACCAGTACTCTCTAATGTTCCTGTTCTTTCTAATTTCTTATCTCTTTCTAAAATCAAAATATAACACTGTTTTATTCAATGATAATTAAGACATTTATAAAGTTATGACTGAACTGTAGAAATTTTAGAGATCAAAATGAATGCTCCACTTTAAAGATTGCTAACATGGAAGGGCAAGTTCATCTTGTGGCATACTTGTTAAAACTTGATAATCATTTACAAAGATTATTTCCATATGAACTGTACAAGCCAAAAATGGCAAGAACTTACAAAGATGTGAGCTAAAGCTAAGACAAACATAATAAACTATCTTTAAAAAAATAACTGAAACCCACCCTCAGCTCTGACTGTTTCTGAAATGATCTCTAACTGTTCCTGAATCCTAGTAGTGGTGGTAGTAGTTGTAATACTTTCTTCTTCATCTCTTGGCATAGGTACAGTACCATCAGCAGTATAGTCAGCAGATGTTTCCAGAGCAGATCTTTGAGCTTCCAGTTCTTCTAACTCTGTTTCATCCAATTTCTTACGGCTCTTCTTCTTTACCGTTTTCATTTCTCCCGCTAAATCATCTGCAGGACTTTTTAGTTTAGACAGCTACAATTTCAAGATATAAAGATAATGATATGAGTAAATGCACAGAATCTTAAACCCTCACCTTATTCAAATAAAAAAAAAACATATAAGCTTAATACTTAATTCATAACTTACCTCTCTGAGTTTCTTTCTGTGTTTAGTTCTTAATTCTTTCTTCAAAGCCGTAGAATGTGCAGCATCTTCCAATATCTGAAATAGATAATATGAAATAATAATGCTATGAGTTTGAATGCAAGTTGATATGATATCACATATTTTCGTATTATATAAACTCAGACATAGGCTAATTCTTTTAAATATCTCACCTCTGCAGCAGATGAATCTCCTTCATTTTGTGAAAAGGCTTGATAAGCTGCTTCTGTGTCTGAATCCTGAAATGACACAAAAGTATGTGAGTTTGCTACATGGAGTAGTCTACAAACTCTCCAATATTCTTAAATTACCAGCTACCATCTATCTAGCATGTGCTTCAGTTGTTACCAAGAAATCATCCTTTTCAAAAAGATATCAATAGTTCTAATAAAACTTCCATTTTGTTTAAGAATCAGATGCCTTTGAGGAAAATCAGCCTTAATTGTAACTTACCAAGGCAGGATTTGAATGACCATCTCCATCAACCTCTTCATTATCTATCAATGGTTGTCTTTTACTTCGCTTTTTACGTTTTTCCGCCATTCTTAATCTGAATAGTGATTCATATAAAGTAATCTATCTCAGAGTAATAAATATAATAAGGATTTTTAGTCTTGTTGACTTGTACAATAAAATGTTTAAGCAGTAACTAAGAATAAGAACATAAATAGGTCTTAACCAATTCCAGGAATGGACAGGGTCATAATCATACATGTCATCATCTAAATTTGTTTAACACCTGAAGGGTGTTAAGGGTCTATAAGGGCGAATTTTGTGTCAGAGGACTAAAATCTCCCCCCCCCCCCCCTTTTTTTTTTAAATAATTCAAATCAAATACCAACCAATCTAGCAAATATCTACCTTTTTTTAAGAAATATTACATGAGAAATCGTTCGAGGTCTCTAATCAATGACTTAAAACTACTCCATAAAAACCACTGCTTCAGAAATCCATTATTTCAGATCTATTTTGCAAATCCAAACGTGAAAAAACTTGTTAACATCGCCGACAAAAGGAGAATGCATGTAAACATTAGAGAGTTCCAAACAAGGGGAATAACCATTTTCATTCAGACTACTATTAAATTATCTTAGCCATCGTTAGAACTCAAGCCTACAAATTGTCCAATATTTTGGATAAAAATTGCCGCTTGTAAAAATGATTCCATGAGCCATGTTTTTATTTATATCTATGCAAAGTAATTTGAAGACTTATGGTGCTGCTTTGAGTATCATTCTAACAAGTAATTGAAGTGAGTTTAGGTGCTGGCATACACAAGACAAACGGATGACATTCTCAATCATTGCATGGCAAATGTATTGAAAGAATCTTTCTAAAAGAGGTATTCAGGGGAAAAAAGATTCTATTTTGCTGACAAAGGGCTACTTTCTCGAATAATCATCAAAATAGAAATATATCTATAAGGTAAGGGTCAGGAACCAACAGATGATTCTTCTGGTGTGGGTAAAGTTGAACTTATAGGAGAATATGCATTGCATTAGCAAAATCATCTTTGACCCAATTAATATAAAAAAAAATTACAAGGCAAAAGTAAAAGTAATACAAAATTTATTTTGATCTTCAATTATTTTTGTTTCCATTTTCCTGGTTTTTTCATTTAGCTATTGATTCTCGGAAACTTCCATAAATAGATGTTCATGATATTTCAATTTGTACAAGTTGTACCAAAATATCCAGGAGGACAAATACAGTTAAATTCACCATTCGAGTTTTCAAAACACATACCTCCATTACACGGATTGGGTGTACAACCTATACTTGATATTCTTGATTCACATATCGAACCCTGAAATTAAAATGATAGTATAATATGAATGAATATACAAAATAAAATGGAGTTTTGCTGAAAGTTTTCTGCACCTGACAGAGTAGGCCTATTGATGTGGTCAATGCCAGACACTGTATGGTAGCCTACATTCAAACGATTTAATACTTTTCAAAACAGTGTAATACATCAGCAAAATGTCTGAATAAATAGAGCAAGCATTATTATTTGCTTCTGAAAATGAGACTTACAGTGAAGCCATTAGGGCAGTCACAAACTGGTTTGTTTTCCACAACCCAACAATCAGCATTATTTAAACAGGGACTTGGTGTACAAGCATCTACAGTAGCTAAAAATATATCAATTATAAAGGTTATTATCTATGGTACATCGAGTCAGATAGAATGAATTATACATCAAATCAATTATACTTTCCAAATGATCAAATTCTTCAATTTTAAAGGTAAATAAATGAAAGCTGTAACTTTGCAGACTATCTATTTTAAAACTGTCAACTAACCATGATATGTAATACGTAGAATTAAACATTATAAAGTCTCATTAGCATACTTTTTAAGTTTGCATATTGAAAGTTATAAATGGTATTGATAGAATGGTATAAATCAAATTCTATAACAACGTGCTATATTACTATCAGGAAATTGTCAAACAAATTTACCCTCACAAGATATACTTACAAACAATATATTGACAATATAACCCTTCATATTTACTGGGACATTCACAAAATATACCAAATTCATCTGTAAAACATGTTCCACCATTTTGACAAGGCTTCTGGTTGCAATTTGTCAATTTAGTTTCACAGCTTTTTCCTGCAAATATATCTTTTATTAGGAAAAGTTTCAGAATCTGATTTCAAAAAAGGGTGCCAACTATATTTGCAATTAAACAGTATCAGTGATCAACTGTAACTCCACTTTTCTCTACTCAGTCCAGTGATATCAGAAACATTACCTGTATATTCTGGGGAACAAGAACAGAAGAAATCTGTATTTCTAACTGAACAAACACCATTATTACATGGATTGGAACTACATGGATCAAATTTAGTACCACAATTTTTACCTAAAATCGAGAATTTCAAGTTTATTCACTATACATTATCTTAAGAACATCTTTTTAATGAATAAATATCAAGTGAAAACTTCTTCTACAATAATCTTAAATTGTTTGGACATACTTCACTTGGTTCTTGCCTTCCCTTCCCTTTATTAGTAACTTACATAGTATGAAACCATGAACCAAGAACCAAAGAAGTTAAAGGGACTTTCTGTTGTTTTCATGGGTTGAAAAAATTTATGAGAACTTTACATCAAAATCTAGAAAAAAACCTGTCCCATAACTTATCTGAAAGTTTTAACTTTACGTTTTTGGTACCATAATGAAAATTTTACATAATGCCCCATTAAAACTAGAATATGAATATGTTTACCTGTAAAACCTTGCAGACATAAACATTGATAGACTGTACCAGTCTGAATACAGGTAGCATTATTTAAACATGGTTTACTATCACATGGTTGTTTTATAATCTCACATTGAATCCCTATAGAATAACAAAATGAAGATTTTACATATTTTTGATTGGTGGAAATGTTGAACACGCTGTTCACATGTCAATGTAAGATTGTGAAGGAGTATAATAAATAAAATATATCTCTGGATTTGGGGTAGAAACTATATGACTGAATTTTTAGCTTTAAGATCATTTTAAATTTTGATTTTCATCCTATCTATCTTACTAGTTGTAATCTTTCCTGACATGGCTATAAAAAATAAAAATAATTTACCAGAATAGTTTTCACTACAGTTACAAGTGAAACTGTTGGCGGTATTGGTACATGTACCATTATGAAGACAAGGACTACTATCACAGGCTTTAACTTCTGTTTCACATTTAGCACCAGTATACCGTAATGGACAATTACATCTATATCCATTAGTACCATTTCTTTCACAAATACCATTGTTTAAACATGGTTTCAAATCACAGGGTGACTGTTGTGTTTCACAACTACTACCTATAAGTGGAAAGCACCCTTTAAAGCTGAACGTTATCAATCATATGGACAAAATTAAATGATATTCATAAGTTGAAGCAATATTTCCAAGATTCATTTGGATTTGCAACTTCCAGAGATTGTCCATTAATATCTTCTGAGAGATATCCAGGGTTGCAGCTATGGTGGACAACAGTATGAAATTGAGAGCTTGTTCTCTTCGCCATTTTGAGTAACTACTTAAGCTATGACCCTGAAGGTATCAGACATTGAATGTCCGTTAAATCTACAGAAAAGCATTCCAACTGACCTGTGAACCCTGTTGTGCACTGACATTTTGGTTCACCATTGACAATGACACACTGTCCATTGATACAGTTGGTTTGATCACAAGTTGGTAGACGTGTATCACAATTCTTGCCTGTAAATCCTGGATCACAAATACAGCCATAGAAGGTTGTGTTGATGTTACTACAACTACCATTGATACAAGGGTTGACAGCACAAGGCAGCCTGGTTTCACAGGTAACACCAGTGTATTCTGGCTCACATCGACAGGAGTACTGCAAGCCATTCGTGGAACATGATCCATTATTCAAGCATGGTGAACTACCACATGGGACAGGGACATCACAATTACTACCAGTAAAGTTTGCTGGACATCTACATGTAAAAGATGAACCATTGACGATGCATGTTCCAGAATTCAAACATGGCTGTCCTGAACATGGAAGTAATGAATTCTCACATCTTTGTCCAGAAAACCCACCATCACAGATGCACAAGAAGTTGTCTCCATTCAGAAAGCAGCTACCATTATTCATACAAGGCGAACTTCCACATGGGTTGTATCTAGAACAAGTAGGTCCAACATAAAATGCAGGACATTGACAACTATATGAAAATCCCACAGTTGTACAGTTTCCTCCATTTAAACATGGGGAGCTCCAGCATGGGAGATAATTATCACAGCTTTTACCAGTATACTGAGTAGGACATTGACAACTATAATCCGTTAATCCAATATTATTACATTGACCATTGTTCAAACATGGGAAACTGGCACAAGGAAGAATAGATTCACAGTTCTTTCCTGTTGTACTTGGTGAACATGTACAAGAATATGTACTGTTGTCAACATTGATACAGGCTGAGTTCTGTTGGCATGGACTTGATGAGCATGAAAGGAAAGTCTCACAAGCACCCCCAGTATATCCAAATGTACAAACACATCGATAACCTGTGGCTGTTTCAACACAAAGTCCTCCATTTTTACATGGCTTGTCCTGACAAAATAGTCTTCTGGTACAGCTTGGACCAGAAAAGGGTGGAGCACATTTACATTCATAACTATCTGCTTTATTAATGCAAGAACCACCATTAGCACACTGGTTTGTTGCACAGGGCTGAACAGCTTCACACAAGGATCCTGTATACTCCACAGCACAAGAGCATCGAAATCTTTGAGATTGGCCAATTAGATTAATACACTGTCCATTATTTTGACATGGAAAGGAAGAACAAGAAAGATAACTCTCACAAAATTCTCCAGTGTAGGCAGACGTACAAATACAAACCTCTCTGCCATTCACTAAAGAGCATGCCGCTCCATTTTGACATAAATTCTTCTCACACATTTTGATTTCTCGGCAGTCTGGTCCAGAAAATGGTTCTGAACACTGGCAAGAATAACTACTTCCTACAGTTTGACAAACACCATTGTTAAAACATGGTTGAGATCCACATGGATTAGGTGTGTCACAAGTTGGTCCAGTAAAGGTTAAAGAGCATGTACAATATGCTGCATCATTTCTAAGAGTACACATTCCTCCATTTTTGCAAGGTGAGAGTAAACATTCATTAACTCTCATTTCACAATTATTGCCTGAAACATAAAATATAAACAATCTTGATTCAATACAACCTAAAATAAACAAGGACAATCCACTAATATCTGAGGTAGCATAAATAACATGCAAGAACCTTCATTAACCATTAACCAATGTTTTTTTGATGTTTCAAATGTACAAAGTTTGGTCTCATATGTCATTGACAGACTTCATTTAGTATGTAAACGTTAAATTTCTTTTTAAGGCTTTCTCTAACCACATAAGTGAACATAGTAATATTTTTTAGGAAGAAAGTTGAATACAAATGTTCCCCTCCATTCCATATTTCCAAGGATAAAAATTACTAATTCACCTGTAAATCCAGAAACACAATAACATTCATAATATCCATCTGCTAGTCCTGAGGCACAGAACTGTTTTCCTTGACGACAACAATAACCGTCATTTTGACAAGGCTGTGATAGACAGGGATCAACCTTGATAGAACATTTGTCTCCAGTATACCCAGGTGAACATTGACATGTATATTTATTAATACCATCTATACATTTACCTACAAAATACAAATTGAAATATGACCAATGAATTTTTTTCATACTGCCAATCATAGACTTTCACACTTTCAAATTTTAAGCTTTTATTTAGGTAACGAATATGGTGACCGATTTCCTTTCCTCAATATCAGAAGAGCTTTGAAGTTTGAAGAAATGTTGGGAGTCTAGGTGTGATATAGGGTACTGTGGCAGGCAAAACTAACATTAGTTTTGGGGTCTTCTTGCCCTCAAATAAGTTTGAAGACAAAGTTCATCATGATATTCCTCTCCGTAACTTGAAAATCATGTCCTATGACTGAGACATGTGAAAGAAAGTAAGTAACAAACCATTTTGTCCACAAATGTTTGGTTGACATTCATTGATATTACTTTCACAGAAACTACCAGTAAAACCTTGTAAACAAACACATGTTGGTGATGAGCCAGGTAGATTCCCTGGTAAACAAATTCCATGATTCATACAGGGATCTACAACAATAAAAGGGTTATCTTAAATTGATATAGGTTTCCATATAATAGATTAACCTGTTGATTAAGTCTTTAAAATTTGTTCTCAATCTCCATCTTTATTTTGTTTTGAAGTAAAATAACTAGCACTATAATAACAGTGAAAAAATTGGTCTTGTTTATGTCCCTAATTGTACTGGAGGTGCTTTAATAACTCTGCTTGACCATATCCATAAATGAATAGATTAAAGGGACAGATGCGTCATTTTGATTTTAGTCTTGAATATATTTAAAAATTCTTCAGGAGTACTAGAAATGTTAAAAAATCGCATAATTCCTTCAACCTAGGAATTTTACTCACTATTTCTATTTGTCTTTTCTCTATATCAAAGGGTATCTTAAAATGAGTCGTCATTTTAACATTCAAACACGGATTATTTCAGACACATGGATTTGAGGGCTCCAATTTTGACGGTGAGCTGTGAACACTATTACTGATTGGCTAGGCCAAAAAATTCCAGTTTCTGAGACTAAAGTATGATTGGTCAAATAAAATGGTGAACCTATCCCTTTATAGTATAATTGCGAATATAATACGCAGCATGCCTTAATTCCTTACCATTATTTGTACAAAGCTGTTGTCTCTCACAATTTGCCCCAGCTCTGTTAGCAGGACAGACACACACATATTCATTGAGTCTGGATTCACATACACCATTAAATAGACATGGTTGAGAAAAACAATAGTTTATCATTGATTCACATTTTTGACCTTAAAACAATAATTATATCTTTTAAAGGGAGTGTTTGTTGTTAATAAATAGATTAGAACTAATCAAAACACGACTTATAGAGGAATTTTTCAGATCATGGATGGTAGGAGTAGCTACCTATAGCCTACACTACGCGAATAATATAAAATTCCCTTTTTCAACAGCACTATTCTGAAATTTCATAGATTTGCAATGGGTTCTAAGCTGAATAAAGTCTATTGGCTAAGTTTGCCTATTTCCAGCTGGAAAATTGAATAAACCAGCAATATGTCACCATGGCCAAGAATTGGTCCCTTAGATTTTACTTACCAGTATAGCCTGTCAAACAGGAACAGGTGAAGCTGTTAATTAAATCTGTACAAGTACCATTATTTAAACAGGGATTAGACTGACAATCATCGATATCTATTTCACATTGTCTTCCAGTAAAACCTGCTTGACAACTACAGTTAAACTGATTGTTTATAACCTGAAAATATAACCTCCCTATTGTTTATAACTGGAAATTCAACCATCTATTTATTCATAACTTGAAAATATAACCACTAAATAGTTTATAATATGGAAATATAACCACTAAATAGTTTATGATATGGAAATATAACCACTAAATAGTTTATGATATGGAAATATAACCACTAAATAGTTTATAATATGGAAATATAACCACTAAATAGTTTATAATATGGAAATATAACCACTAAATAGTTTATGATATGGAAATATAACCACTAAATAGTTTATAATATGGAAATATAACCACCAAATAGTTTATAACATGAAAATATAGTCACCAAATAGTTCATAATATGGAAATATAACCACCAAATAGTTCATAATATGGAAATATAACCACCAAATAGTTTATAACATGAAAATATAACCACCAAATAGTTTATAACATGAAAATATAGCCACCAAATAGTTTATAATATGGAAAGATAACCACCAAATAGTTTATAACATGAAAATATAGTCACCAAATAGTTTATAACATGAAAATATAGCCACCAAATAGTTCATAATATGGAAATATAACCATCAAATAGTTTATGATATGAAAATATAACCACCAAATAGTTTATAACATGGAATTATAACTGGTTAACGGTCAGTCTGCTGTATACCCTAATAATTTTATAATTAATTAATTCATTTTGATAATCTATCATATAGAAATAATTATAAATATATTTTATATCTGAATTTTATTAAAAAGCTAATTGGTGAAAAATACCAAATGACTCAAATAAACTCTTTAAATATAAATTAACATAACCCTGCATACATATCTAATACTTGTTTCTGTTATTACCTAGAAGTAAGATAACAATTAATTTGTTAATTGTCTTTCTAATTGTTTGCATAATTAAGAAATCTAAGATGTATCTTATCATAATTAAGTCCATCTTAAATTACATAAGACTTGTTGTCAAATTGAAATTTCTCTCAGTTGAGAGGTGCATTCCACTTTGTAGTGTTGTCATTTTAACAGTTTGAAGGTAAAAGTATATCAAATTTTTCTCACTTAAAAGGACCAAAAAGAAGTTCACCACAGAACAGGGTGGTATTTATACTCAAATCAACTCAATGAAGTTGAAGCAGTGACTTTGACTTAAAGAGATTCATGCTCAAACAGAATCAAAGCATTAAAAGCTTGCTGTTTAAGAATTTGTTTAAAAATAATACAGGGGATCGTCCGCAAGTGTTTTCTCTTCTTATTGTAATCTGCAAAAAGAGTCAATATGATACTGCATGAAAGCCAGTTGGGCAGAAAGTTTGATGAGTTTTTCTGCATTTCAAGCTTTGCTTCAAAATAATTTTCTTATGATTAACTTATAATTAATTTATTTTTTCCATATTCAGATCTAGAAACAATGGAGTCAGCCAACAGTACTAACACCAGTAGTACCTTCCACAAAAGAGCAAATTTTGACTATCTTGATACAGTACACAAGGTTGCTTTAGGGATGTCCATAATAGAAACCATTGGAATGCTAGTCTGTAATGGTCTTCTCTTGATCACTATATTCACTTCACCAAAATTGAGGACAAACTTTCAATACATTATTGTGTGCAGTGTCGCTGTAGGAGATTTACTGATTGGTAGTCTTGGTCTACCAGCTGTCACAGATTTCATCATACAGCAAAAGATTACGGTTCGATGTGAAATTCATGTAATCATTCAAATTTTGCTACATTATGGTCATGTGAATATTACTTTAATTGGATTGTTCATGATCAGTGCTTACTATGTGCTCAAACAATATTCAGTGCCACTGCCAGAATTAGGAGAGCGTCTGCATCGCAGTCTTTCCATTTTCTTGGCCATTCTACCATGGATTCTGACATGTGTTGTGATTTCGGCAGTTGTTCCTGTAGGAATAAATCTTTTGATATATAAATTCTGGAGAGCAAATTCGTGTCCTCTTCACTTGAAGACCTGGGCCAACTATACTATTTTCTCACTATGTTTTTGTCTTCCTGTAATTTTCATTATAATCACTTCAAGTTTAATCATTAAAAAATGGTATTCTGTGGCTCGTGGAACTGATGCCTTCCAACCACATCTGATGAAAGAAGAAGGATCACTTATTCATCCAAAATACATCATTATTATCAATATTGTCAGCATTTTGCTTCTGTTGCCAGTTCAAATAGTACAGAACAGTAAATCCAGTTTTCCAAGTGTCAAACTTCTTGTGATCATTATGTTTGCCACTTTTGAAATTTCTTTGTTTAAATCAGTCGTCTTACCCTGCATTTGGCTGTGTGTACCAGAAGTTCGTCAAGAATTTTTAGTGAGATGTAAAATGAGTTATTGGAGACGATCAAAAGAATCATTAAGGCATGTTATTAATAAAACATATCAAGAATACAAAGAAGATGAACAGAAAGAGGACAAAGGACAGGAACCATAAATGAGGTGTTACATGAAAGTTCTGAGAACTACAGAGATGAATGAAGTTTTCTTATAATTAATCAAAATCAATAGACGTTTTGTGGCTTTTTGTATTATGGTCTGTTATAAGTTTAATTTGAACTTTTTTCAATTTCCCATTTAATGCATGTGTTCATATAACTCAAGAAAAATGGGATCAAATCATGTATGTATGAAAAATAAGTTTTAAGATCACCGCTGATTAATAAAAGCAGTCTATAGGTTTTTGTTGTTGTTCATCTCTTAACATACCTCACTTGGACATAAATGTCGCCATTTTATTTCATGATGGTTTGTAACATCTAAGATAGGCAATAACATAACGGCAAAACACTAGCGAATACAGCCAATCATAGCCTCTGATTACCTGTGCAACCAAATTCTTACTGACTTTCTCTTGAGCACTCTTATTGGCTGTATTCACTAGTGTGCAGTCCAATCAAAGCGATGCATTCACAAACTTCTGTGATTCTGTGATCCAAGAAAGGTGGCTATTGAAGTCAAGGGATTAGAAGAAGTCATCGGCCATTGTTTTATTTTGTGTTTAATGAATAAATACCAACCTGACATTGTCCATTATTAAGACAAGGGAGAGAACTACAAGGATTAATTGTTTGCACACATCTGTCTCCACCATAACCTAAAATATACAACATCAAATTATCTTATGGAACTGAATTATGATTTTACAGACCATTTTAAATATTTTCATTTCTACGTTTGAAGATTAGAATTTCCTTTGAGAACACAATAAAAGAAATGGCAGTCTTCATAATATCCGTTGGTTTTAATATAACTACACAGGGCACATGGCTTCAATTTGACCTCTTTTCATCATAACACTATTTCAGTGAAGGTCGAACAGATTATCCAAAATCAAAATATTGAACATGACATATGCAACAATATGGAGCAGGAATTAAAAATGAATAACTGATTTGGCTATTTTGTCAAGCTAAAAAATCTGTCAAACAAAAACTACCTGGAATACAGTTACAATGGTATCTGTTGTTTCTAAGTTGGGTACAAACACCATTAATACAAGGATTTGGTGAACATGAACCAACACTTCCAGATTCAGTTGTGGTTGTTGCCTGAGTGGTGCTCCTTGATGATGGTGAAGTGATCTGTGCAGATGGTGAGGTGAGCTGAGTTGATGACGTTGTGACCTGTGTTGGTGATGTTGTGACCTCTGTTGGTGATGTTGTAACCTGTGTTGGTGACGTTCTGACCTGTGTTGGTAATGATGTGACCTGTGTCGGTGATGTAACCTGTGTCTGTGATGTTGTGACCTGTGTTGATGATGTTGTGACCTGTGTTGATGATGTGGTGACCTGTGTTGGTGATGTTGTGACCTGTGTTGATGATGTGGTGACCTGTGTTGGTGATGAGTTGACCTTTGTTGACCTTTCCGTGACCCGTGTTGATGATCCTGGTGATGAGGTTGTTGATGTTGATGGACCAGTAGTTGATGTAGATACAGTTTTGTCAGAAGTAGATGCTGTTGATGATGCTGTTTTGGTTGTAGAATCTGAAGTTGTAGACCTAGTTGTTGTTGATGAAGTCATGCTGGTGGGTGAGGTGGGTGAAGGAGTGGACGAAGGCTGGGTAGTGATTTGAGTAGTAGGAGGTGCAATTTCACAAAGAAATCCAGAATAACCCAAAGGACATGCACAAATATAATATGCAACACTCACATTGGTAATAGCTGAAAACGGGTAACAAGAAGCACCATTTTTACAAGGTCCAGTTAGGCAAGGATTTCCTGAAATATAAGAAAAACAATGCCTTCAATCGCAAACAATGAAATTTGCAAAACATTGAAATGCAAATCTATCCAACTTTAGGATACATAGATATATAGAGAGCTGAAATGACATGAAATCTTGACCTATATTCCTCCAAAGAGTCTAATTAGTCAAACTGAGATGGTCAACTTCGTCTTCCTTTTATAGAGTTTGTTTGGTATATTATTCCATATCAAAACAAATAGTGAGCTAGTTTAAAAAAAAAAAAATGGATTACCTCCCTTACAAGTGGCCTCAGATTCATCAAGACCTTGAGGACAATCATTAGAACCATCACAAACCCATGTCCTTAATATACAGCTGCTAGGATTAACCGGATCACCACAAAATACTTGGATAAATGGTTCTATATAATCTACACAGTTATCACGATAGGCTGTAATAAAAGTTGTGAATTATGATGTAAAGGAAACTGTCAGTTCTAATGGTAGGCCTAAAGGGTAAAATAGAAAGAAACAACTAGTTTTTCAAAAGGGTCATGCCACAAAGCTAATTCTTGGCAGATAGGGCTACTTTTTGCATTGACCTCACCCAGATTATCTTCAATTTACAACTGGGTCATTGGAATGATAAGAAAAGATGATATATTCAAGGTCACTAGACTTTCTGCATCTGTGAAGAGTAGAATAATATAGTACTTACGCTTTGGAGTAGTCTGAGAATTGACTTGGAATAAAAGAAAGACAAAAACCAAAAACATGTATTTCTTATCCATTTCTTATCTCCCTCTTTTACTTTTTTAGGCGATTATTATGTTTTCATCATCTGAAATTCCTTTGACTTGAAAACAAAAACCATTTTATCTGAAAAAAAATAAAATAATTGTCAAACAGTATATTTTTCTTCTAAATATATGACAATTCCTCTTTTAATCCTACACAAGTAAATTTTCAAGAAATGTAATAGTTAATTCAGAAACAAATGACAGCAGGCAATGCCTTATACTTATAGAAATGACTCAATGAATTAAAATGAAATAGAGTTTATGTCCTACTTGTCTGCATCTGTTTGAGGGAAATTTTGCCAGGACAGCAGCATTTGCCTAATTTTTTTTCACATTTTCAGCTGTCAGGGGTTGGCTATAGACCTACCGATACAGGCTAGGAGACTAATAGCATAAAATATTATTTCATATAGCCTTAATGATTACACTTGATATATATAAAAGAGTATGTTTTGATGAATATAATTACCAATTTCTAAAAATTTCACACTTATTCCAAACAGAATTTCAGCATATTCAAAAAGTTACCATAAATGATATTGTGTTGGACTGAATTGGGACTGATTGTATCGACTTTCCCCTCATTTCTTCAAATATATGGTTATGACACGCATTATATCACAGTCGTATAAATGAAAAGTTTCAGTCGTAAGTAATTTTGTTTTAATCTTGCCCTTTTCATGATAATGGCAACAATATCTCAGGCCATTAGATGAATTTTCGATGGAGTATCCTCATGAGCATTAGGATAGAGTTTCCCAGTCATTTTATCTCTGCTGGAAAGTCGCGATAATCGGAACTAAAATCTGGAAAATTATTTTGTTGAGCGGAGGTCGATGGTATTTTTTGGAGGATAAACATCGTGGTAAATAGATTACGTTATAATGTATCATATAAGCTAGATCTGATTTCTTGACGCAAGACCAAAATGTAAGTGTCATATTGTTTAAAATAGAGAAATATGAGATAGTAAACTTGATTCCATCGAATGGGCACGTGAACTGTAGAAAGATTGTCCAGTTGAGTTACTCTAAAAATGAAGTGAGTGAATACAAATCAAACATTAGGATCCGATAAGGTTATTTGTTGTCTTTGAATGGCATTTAGCAATTGTGAGTACGATATATAGACACAGCTTTATGGAACAACAATCACTGGTTAAAGG